AACAAAGAAAAGAGAGCAATGGCTCCGTTTGTGAGCTTTTATATAGTTTTTAAGAATTTTATATTCTCCGAATATTGATTGGTCCAAGCTCAAATAAGCCAAATTATACAAATTTCATTTCGAGGATTCTAATCTCTTGTCCAATTCACCTATAACCTTTTAATTTGTAATATGGTATCAAAATAGATCGAGCCCGATTCAGTTACTATATTTCAATTTTGGCTCTCATTTGAATGTCCAGTTACATAGTGTCAAAGATCATTTCGTTCAATTTCAAGGGAGAATTTCAATTCGGGTTCTCATTTGAATGTCCAGTCCCAACACCCAATTAAGACCAATTTCAATTTTAAGGGAAGGATTTCAATTTGGGTTCTTGTTTGAATGTCCAGTCCCTAACACCCAGTAAGACCAATTTCAAGTTTAAGTGTCAACGGATGTCTAGTATAAGAAACTAGAAGTATAATTTTGACACTTCATGGATTTTAACCTCTTACTCATTTTTATTTTTAAAAAGACTATTCTACGCAATTCACCTCTGCTTTTTTAATTTGTAACAAAAATTATGATTATTTTTTTCTCTCGACCTTATGTATAAAATTCGTCTGAGAATACAGTTCACTTCAATTAATCCAACTGCATGTTAATTATAATTTTTTTAAAAAAAATTATTCTTCGCTAAACAACTCGATAAACAAATCAAATAATGTAATTTTTTAAAATATATTTTTGAATTTATTTGCATTAATAATTTAAAAAACAATATTATAAATAGAAAATGGGTGATTGATAATATGAAATTAATAGAGAGAATCTCTTGCCATGCTTACTTGTCCCTACTAGTTCTAATCTTAGAAAGAAAATTAAAGATTTAATATTGTCGAGAGAAAATAGCCAAGAAAGAAAAGGAAAACGTTGAGAAGCAATTGGGGGCCATCTGCCATTGCCATATGTCACATGGGGGCCTCTTCTTCAAAGAACAGACAGAGATATGTAGACGCCAATGCCACGCCAATCTCCTTATCTCCTCATCTCTTTCTCTCCCACCCAATTCATTTTTCATACCTTCAATCTCTTCTTCTTCTTCTCATTTTCAACGAGTACTAACTTAAAAGATAAGGTTAACTATATATGCCAAAAGAAAATTAATGAAAGGAATAAGATAAACCCATTTTCAAGATATAAATTTTATAAAGGATAGAAAATCTTTTAGCAATGATTGATTCAAATTTAAATAAATTCAAGAAATTTCATGATTTTTAACCTCTCATCAATTCATAAGAGGAGGTTTATTCTGGTTCAGTTATTTTTCGATTCACTTGTATTGTCACTGGTATTTCTGTTGTATTTCAATTCGGACTTTCACTTGAACTTTCAGTCCGAGCACTCATTGAAGACTAATTTCAATAGCAAAACCCAATTCAATTTTAGGAGGAGGATTATTCTGTTTAGTTTCGATTTGAAATTTAATTTTTATGTCAAATTGATTTTTTAGAATTTTTAATAACCAGTCCGAACTCAAAAAATTTTAATTTTTTATATAGTCCGATCAAATCGAATGTTTTCAAAACAGAATTTAATCAATTTAATCGATTTTCATCCACCTCGATGAATTATTGTAATAAGATGGTATTGTAAATTAATTTTTAATTGCTAGTGTATTAAATTTTTTATTAGATATTATATTTTTAAATCATAGAATTTTTAAAAGATTATATATAAAAAAAATGCAAGAAAGTAAAAATGTATATAATATAATTCCAAAATTGAACCCTTCTAAAATTGCAATAAAATAAAATGTATATAATATAATTTCAAAGGTGAATCGTTCTTATAATTTAACTTTAAATATTATTATAATTCTTAGATAATTCTCCAAATAAAATAAAATCAGAAATGAGAATTTTCGTTACGACAAAATTGTCTGATCCTCATCAGTCTAGTTAAATAAGTGTCTTTTTGTGGTGTTGCAAAATGTAGTACTACCGTCGCAACAAACTCAGGGATATTTTGGTAACGTAGTAAATGGAAATATCTAAAGCGTGGTCCTTCGCGACATGCAAAGTGTCGTTTTCGCCGACCGTGTGTCGTTGTAGTTAGGCCGAGATGATTGTGCATTTTGGCTATGAAAATGGTTTGCTTTCTACTCCACGGAGTTCTATTACAGTAGACTAGCGCTACGGAATTCAAATCCATACAAAATATATTTTGAATTGAATGATAGATCAAATATTATTTTGTTTGCAATTTTTTTTTTTTTCGTGTAGACCATCCATATTCTAACCTTATTATTAGAGACCGCCTAATCCGACTTAGAGTTTAGTCACAGTTAAGACTCATTGCTCATCCTTGCAGGTGCATTTAGTAAAAATTGGATCGAGAGCTCTTTCCATATACTCAGCCTACGTTACCAATTGAGCCACAACCTGTAAATAATATTTTTTTATTACAATATATTATTGTAATTAATTGGATTTATTATATTTTGAATATTTTAGATTAATGTTGAATACATATTTTTTGAAAGTTTTGATTAGTATGAAAAACTAGTAATTTGAATAAGTTTCTTCTTGTTCTCTTCAAGTATGTTGTTTAGATAACTATATCTTCGTAGTTGGCCAGCTTTAGCTTTTATTCGGTAAAATTAGTTGTTTTAGTAATTGTTATGTGTTTTAATAACACTTAACTATTTAAGTAGCTTAGAAACTATTTGAATAGGTTTTCATAAAACACTAAAAGATAAATGTTATACAAATTAATCTTTTATGAAACACTACCTTAACTTCTAAAAATTAGTTCAAACGCTATAATTTTACATAATTTCTAAAAATTAGTTCAAACATTATGTTATAGAATACTAAAAAAAAATAGCATTTAGCGTTTTGAAAAATTATGTAAAAAGTTGTTATCCAACATGATCTTAATTTGGATGTTAAGACTAATGGATATGGGCTATTGAACCATTTTGTGAACAAGGAGTAAATTTACTTATATATATGAATCCATCCTTTAAACTATCTTAGGTTAAATTATGAATTGAATGCTAACTTATTTTGTGAAGAGTTCAAACATGCATGCAATATGTAGTTGTGAGTTGAAAATCGAAAATGCTATGTCACTAAATAATTTTGTCATAAAACAAATAGAATTATATATATGTTGTGAGGTTGAAAATCGAAAATGCTATGTCACTAAATAATTTTGTCATAAAACAAATAGGAATTTATATATATAGTATTATTTATATATATATATTATATATTTTTTTTTTTTTTTTTTTTTCTTATGAGTGAGCTGCCACACTAAATCGTGGATGAGCCGATAATCAATTTCTGAGAGAAGATCGGAGTAAAACATAATTAATCTCAAGGAAATTCTAACTGAGTTAGAAAGAAAAATTCAGCACTAAAGTTCGTTTTCTGTTGTGTATACATGACAACTATCTTGCCAATCCCAATTTTGATGCCAAATTTTTTTTTCTAGAGTGAGCTGCACCACTAACATCGTGGATGAGCCGATAAGCAATTTCTGAGAGAAGATCGAGTAAAACATAATTACTCAAAAGGAAATTTCTAACTGAGTTAGAAAGAAAATCAGCACTAAAGTTCGTTTCTGTGTATACATGACACTATCCTGCAATCCCAATTTTGATGCATAATGTTTTGGATGGGCAAAACCAACTGATGGACAGCCCCAGTTGATGGCCGACTGCCATTGATAAGCTGCACAGCCACCGAGTTATCACACTCCATAAGGAGGTTCATACTTTTGGTATTTTGTGGGAAATGAAAACCAACGTAGCTACCTATTTTGTTTCTCTTGTATTATTAATATTGGGACCAAATAATTTTGTCTTATAAACAAGGCTATCACATCACTTATAATAGGCCCCAGCTCGCTGCAACAACTTGCCTGGAAGGCCTGAATTTGCCTCGTGCTTGATCGTACAAAGTTGCTAAAACTAGCAAAGCTACAGCCTAACTTCGGTCATTTTAGCTGCAACTTGTGCTTGAATTATCCTATCCTAAGTCCTAACTAGCTACCTATTCGCATGGTTTATCTATATACACTTAGAGAGATAAAATTAAACTTTCAATAAAGGAATTAAAAGTATAAATTAAAAATTAAAAAAAATTGAAAGTTAGAAGCACATAACTGTTAAAACAACTAATATTATCTAACATATTTTATATATAATTACATCCCTTAATGTATATATAAAGTAACATAATAAGAACATTTTTATCTACGGTATAAGTAATACAACGGTGAATTTTTTTTTTTCTTTTTTTTTTTGTTCCATGTATTATAATCACATTACTTGAATATGTATTATACATAGAGTGTAGATTAGAAGTATTTATAGTATATACCCAAAAATCATTGATAAGTTGGCTAGCAACATATATAATGCAATTTGAGAAATGCATGCATGCACATTTATTGATTATTAGGTTAGGTAGTTGGAAGCACATATGATAGCTACATTGTAGATATTAAATTTTTCACCAAGCTAAGAGAGGAATGAATTAATTATATAGAGATCTAGAATAGAATAGCCATCACCACCACCGTCATCATCGCTATGAGATCGTTTTTGGCACCATCGTGTCCCTTTCTAATCGGGGTAGGATCAAAATTGATCACCTTAAAAATATATTTAAATAAATTGAATAAATTAATTTGATTTGATTAACCGAATGCTGACTCTTTGCAGGAGGTGATCAACTTTCAGTTCATTTATCTTTTATTCTATTAGATTAGAATTTTTATTTTTCATTTTCTCTTCTTTTCCAATTTTAGTGGTTTGGGGGTAATACGTTTCCAGTTCGGTTTGAAAATTTTACCAAACCGACATAATAAGCCGGAGTCTGAATTTTTATTGCTGGTCTGATTTGAGAAATGGACTCGGCTCATCCAAAAAGCTCGAAACTTCAAAAGCAACCAAAAAGACCTTTGGCCTTTCAAAAATACCAACAAAAGCATGGCGGGAGATGAAATTGTTACGGTTCCATTTTCCCGCTAAATTTATCTAAAATATTTTCTCTCACGTTTTCTTATTTACATCCCACCAAAACTCTGCTATCTCCTCGCCTAATCCCTTCCACCAAATATTTTCTCTCGATCCAAACACAAATCCGTTCTTAGTTATGCCTTCAATTGCAGGGCGCAATTCGTCTCCCTGCAAGGAGATAACCGAGATCGTCCCATCTAACGATGAATCTGCCACGCCTCAGAAGCGGAAGTTGAGATCTAATGCAATGGCAGTGCAGGACAGCCCAATCTCTTCACCAGTGAAATGGAAATCGCCTCGCCGATCTTTGCCTTCGGGCCCAAATACTCCTAGAAACGTAAGCATTTTTGTGTTTCATCTGTGCTTCTTCCATTTTTTTTGTGTCTATAGGATTTGATGAATTTAAGTTAAGATAGTCATAAATCAATAAGTGTTAGTGGAGTTTGGAGCTTAATAATGGTGATTTCGGTTTGGGAAAGAGAAAAGGCTTTGGCTCTTATATATGTATAATCTATTGATAGGTTTTTTCAAGGAATAAGGTTTGTGAATTTGCTATTTTGCAGGAAATTGAAAATGCGTGTAAATCTGTAACGAAGGAATTGTCTAATGACATCACCAATAAATCAAGTTGGAATCCTAGAGGCAAGCACGTTTACAGTTTTTTATGATACGGTATTATGTGTTCTATGTAGTATTAATTAGTTTGGTAACTATTTGTAGATATGGAGCAAATAAGTGCAGTGAAAGAGGCATTGCACGTGTCAACTGCACCATCTACTGTCGTTTGCCGTGAAGATGAACAGAAAAGGGTATTTGAATTCTGCAAAACATGTATAGAGCAGGAAAAGGCTGGGAGTTTATATGTTTGTGGATGTCCTGGGACTGGGAAGTCATTGTCAATGGAGAAGGTGAAGCAACAATTGATTGATTGGTCTAAAGAGGTACATTAAATAGTTTTCTAGTTGTCTTTTATTTCTTGGGAATTTTAATAGTTCGATTGGTCTAAGTGCTCTTTTGCTTTTCAATGAATTAGTCAGGTTTCTCCTCTTGAAATATTATGCTTAAGATGGTAAATTTGGTATCGCAAGGAAGGTTGATTTATTTTCCATGATTCTTGCATAGTTGTTATGCTAGTGTGGCATAATAATATACAATTTTCGGTTGCTTAGTTTTGTCTATCATTACTAATATCACAGCAACATAATTTGCTTTTCATTTTTTCTGCTGAAAACATATGACTGTGATCTGCATTCTTCAAAACCTGGAGTTTTGATCACCTACTCACTAGTACATAACTCATATAGGCCGACAATTTGAGTGACCTCACAAGCATTTCTACATAATTGGATTTAGAATTGTGCAAGGGGAAATGTAAATCTTGCATTTTGAATAAAAAATTGAGTCGCTGCTGCTTGTATGGTCTTGTCATTTGCTTTGGTCGTTCTCTTAAATTCCTTTCGTCTGTTTTTTTAAGAACTGATCCTGACTAATTAAAAAGAGTTCAAATGAGGGCTCTATGCAAATTTTAATTTTAGAGTGCTTTGCATGCCTGTTTAAGATAAACGGAAATGAATGATTGAAGGATATTTAACAATGCAATTGGTTGGAACTTAAGACCTCAAATGTGGTCGTCAAATCATTTACCACTTCTGGCCTGATGCACTGGTTGGTTTAAAAGTATATTGCTGTATGTTAGGTTCTTTCTAGACATAACTGATCATGGAGTTGTTCTCTTTAGCAGACAGGTTCACAGTCTCCAGATGTGTTGACTATGAATTGTACTTCTCTAACAAACACATCCGAAATTTTCAGCAAGGTACTGATAAGAGCACTGTTTCCATTAAATTATTCACCTACTACATACTCTTACCAGCTGTTTTTTATTGCCAGATAATTGGCAAAAACCTCCCAAGAAAGAGAACCAATGGATCAACTTCACCTTTACAGCATCTCCAGATTTTGTACTCTCAACGGCAGCAGTCATCGAGCTCAAAAATGATGTAAATTCCTTGTCCTCAAGTTGTGTGCCTATACACCTCCCTCCCCCAAGTCTTTCCGTGCATGGACTAATACATTGTGAACCCTCCACCATGATAATTGATGGGCGCATGATCTATTGAAATTTGTTAATCATTTTCTGCCTTATCGAATTATACATCATATCATTGAGCTAATTTTACACCTTTGCAGGCTAATAATTGCTGATGAGTTGGATTACTTGATCACTAAAGACCGTGCTGTCCTTCATGATCTTTTCATGCTTACAACTTTCCCATTTTCTCGATGTATATTGATAGGTAAAATTTGTGGAAAATCTCTCATTGGAAGCTTTTGCTTATTTCTATGAGCTGTCCTATATGAACTACTATCAATGTGCTATTGAATTGGCTTGCCTGTTGCCACATATGCATGTACAAATTCAAAGTATTCATTTTTTTTTGCAGGTGTAGCAAATGCCATAGATTTAGCTGATCGTTTTCTTCCAAGACTTCAATCATTGAATTGTGAGTTCTTTGCTTGCTTTTATTGAATTAATCAATTTCTCATTATTTAATCCGCCATATTAGAAAAATCCATTATCCTGTAGTTATATTCTACTGGTACGTGTTGCATTCTCATCTGAATATCATTCATGGTATGCTTGCCTGGCTTTACGCGATGAATAATAGAATGCCTTTTTCTCAATATTGCACTTCTCCTAGTTGTGGCAGAATCAGTATGGTAACAAATAGCATATGTACACTCCTTGGCTTTTACATTTCTTTTGCCGCCTCTCTCTCAATGTACCAGCTAAATGTTTGAAATTAAATTATTGGCCAATTTAGTGCCTGCAGTGTTTGTCATTGATTTTCTCTTGTCTTCAACTGTTGAGTTAACATTGACTTAGGAGTTTTATTGATCAATTCATCCGCTTTCTTCCGATAGGCAAACCTATGGTTGTGACTTTTAGAGCCTATTCTAAGGAGCAAATCCTCAGAATACTTCAGGAGAGATTGATGGTAATTCCTATACTCTTCTTTTTTGTTTTTATTTCACTGAAGCAATTAGTTGACATTTTTTCTGGACCCACTCTTCACATTTTCCATATTGTCAAAAGAACTTGAGATATAATTACATCAAATGGTTTCTGAATTAAGCAGAAATATGATTTATGAAATGCTGGGAAGAAACATGTTTATATGCTGGGAAAAACTAAATATTGGTGCATATATGGGTTGTCATTAATAATGAAAAATTGGATGGAATGGAAGAAACATATTCATATAACAATCCTAACTAGCTCTGGATTGAAGTTTAGTTCTGGACTTTAATTAACTCTTAATCTTTACCAATAGGCACTGCCTTGGACCACTTTTCACCCACCAGCATTGGAGCTCTGCGCCAGAGTAAGTTCATGATTTTTTATTGATGCATTTTGATGAATTGGATTTCTTTTTCTTCACTTGACCTATTGCCGTTAGATATTGACTAGTTGACTGCAACCAGAAAGTTGCAGCTGCCTCTGGAGACATGAGGAAAGCTCTGTGTGTTTGCAGGTCAGTATTTCTGTTCTTATTTCAGTTACTAGTGGTAATTCAAGTAAATCGGTGGATGCAACTGTTAAGTTGGTATAACTGATATTCTTTACCTTTTTTAGGAGTGCAATTGAGATTCTAGAAGCAGAACTGAGAGAATCCACAGGCAATCTGAATTCATTTGCGGTGGACAAAGAGTTATCCCATCAACAAACAGCTCCAGCTGGCGAATTCTTTGAAAAGCAAGATTACAGTATTGTAAGTGCTCACTACTAGCGTCAAGTTTTCAAAATTTAATTGTTTGCTTATTACAAGAATGTTTGTCAGTATTCTTCTAGGTCGTTGTGGTGCAAAAATTTTGATGCTATTAACTTCTCATTAGTTTCTGGTATAATTTAGATATTTATTGTGCCTAATGGTTTTCATTTTCTTTAAATTTCCAAATGTATTACAGGTGAGGATTGATCACATGGCTGTTGCTTTGTCAAAAGCATATAGATCACCTATAGTAGACACTATTCAATCTCTTCCGCAGCATCAACAAGTAAGTTGTGTATGTTTTCAATTGAAAATTGGTTTATAATTATATGCTTCAAGTGCTTCCACCACTTATATCAGTGTAGAACCCTTTGATCGAAATCCAAAATGCACCCTATTCTCTTTGGGAGCATGTTTTAATGCTCAATTCTCCAGCATTTCTAATGACTTGTGTTTTTTAGATAATACTATGTGCTGCTGTGAAGTTTTTTCGAGGAGGAAAGAAGGACACTATTGTTGGAGAGGTATGCTCTCTTTTTCTGAAACAATGATAATGGTAATACAAGATCATCAGGCAGTTGCTAATGACCTTGTCCTACGATGCAGCTGAATAAATATTACATAGACGTTTGCAAGTCAACAATGATACCACCAGTTGGAATTTCCGAATTTTTAAGCATGTGCAGAGTATTAAATGACCAGGTGAATAAGGAAAACCATGATGTTTTAGCTTAACAATAATTCAATTTCAACTGTCAAATTTATTTCTGTGATGTTTTAGCTTAACAATAATTCAATTTCAACTGTCAAATTTATTTCTGTGATGTTTTGATGTTTTAGCTTAACAATAATTCAATTTCAACTGTCAAATTTATTTCTGTGATGTTTTAGCTTAACAATAATTCAATTTCAACTGTCAAATTTATTTCTGTGATGTTTTAGCTTAACAATAATTCAATTTCAACTGTCAAATTTATTTCTGTGATGTTTTAGCTTAACAATAATTCAATTTCAACTGTCAAATTTATTTCTGTGATGTTTTAGCTTAACAATAATTCAATTTCAACTGTCAAATTTATTTCTGTGCATGTTTGTGAATATTGCATTTGAACAAGGTTTCACTTTGAATCTTAATTTAGGGACTTCTCAAACTAGGTCAGTCTCGAGATGATAAATTAAGAAGACTGATGCTAAAAGTAGATGCAGCAGACATTATTTTTGCATTGCAGGTATAAATATTCGATAAAGTATTAACATTAAATTATTCTTGTTGTTAAGCTTTTGTTTCCCCTGATCACTTTGTTTCTTATTGCCATTTTTTGTACATTATACAGGGTGTCCGTTTCTTTCGGAATTGTCTTCAGTCGTAGTCCATTTATTACATGAACTAATTATACTTCAAAATGGTCTATATATATAAAGGCCATTTATCAAGAAGTTGATCAAATCCCAGTTAAAGGTTGGCATATGTTTCCTGTTTTTGAAAGTCATTACCATAGAAATACATGAATTCTATACAGATCTGTACATTGTAACTTTAGTCACTGTTTTGTTATTAACTGTATTATTTTGAAGTTAATAAAAGAAATTACAGTTAGTTTCTGGGACGGTCATGCTTGACGATTCTTGGATTATATATGCATATGAAAAATAGTTATTCCATATAATTACATCAATCCATACCAAATGATCTGCTCCATGTGCAAATTATTTACATTGAAACTGGGAAGGGAAGGAAAATAAATTTGTTTGTAAAAAAGAAAATGTTGGGTTAAGAAAGAGATTGGTGGAAAAACTACTTTTAGCCACAGTAAAAAGACAAATAAAGATTCAATCAAACAACGATAAACCCAAATCGCCATCATCGGAATCCTCCTCACTTTCTTCTTTCTTTTCTTCCACCTTGGCTGCAGCAGCACCAGCATCAACTCCTCCGGTTGGAGCTGCAACAGCTGCAAATTTGCTTGGATCCTGAAAGTTTGCAAGCCAGATAATTAACTAATTAATGTCACAAAAGAATAGTCACGACTTACACAAAAGGAAATGGTAAAATAAGCAGTCCATCAAAGGCAAACCTCCAAGAATTCTTTAACTTGCTCTGCCTGCGGGAAAGTATATTCAGTTGCCACTGAAACAGAAAGAACATTCTTGTACGCATTCAAGAACATATGGGGTGCAGCTGCAAGTGTTGGGAACGATATAGACAGAGATAGCGATGTGACCATCGATACACCATTAACAAACCTCTCCACAAGATCATCCTCTGTGAGATCAAGAACCTCAGGGCTGAAAACTGATCCATTGTCATAAACAGAGAAGACAATAAGACCATAAGAGAATGGTCGTATCTGAAGCTTCGCCAGAAGAGCAGACTCAGATGAGCCCACTTTTTCACCCTTCTTAATTAGATCAACAGCAGTAACGATTTCCACAGAACCTTTGTTAATCTTGGTTGGTATGTTCAAAGCCTGACGAACATGGTGTTAGATTTTGCAGCCGCAGGAAAGAAAATTAAAAACAGAGAAGTTAATATAATAACCTGAAAGAAAGATGTCATAGAGGGATCGAGTCCAGTAGGTCCAGGAGGGACAACAACATCAATTGGTGCAATGAGGCCAACACGTGCAGGAGCTCCCACCTATTAATGTAAAGATACCGGAAAATGACTCTTAAAATATAATTTTACGTGGAAAAGCGGTATTTGATATGGAAGCAGGTTCTTTAAAAGGTAAGATCTACTGCACTATAAATGAAAATAAGTTGTCCACTTGGTAAGGGGAAATATGGGTTAGACAAATCCAAAACCAAGGGAGTTTGATCAAATTTAGAAATAATTACCAAGAACAACATATTACCTTGTACTTAGCAATCTCTTCTCTAACTTCCTTCAAATCACCCTTGGTAAAGACCAAACCGACATTTCCCTGATTCAGAAATTATTAATATAGGAGTAAACAATTTGATATCAAGGTAAGCGAAAGGGTAATAAGAACCCTCAAAAACTTATAATTCAAGATGATCTTAAATAAGAAATAAAATACAGATTACGGGCTAATCCTAAAATTCTCATGTGAGAAACCGCATTAAAATACATTATTATTTACAGATCTCAAGCAATAAAAAAAAAATCCAAAATCTTCCCAAAAGCAGTTCATATTGTTAAAGTTTCCTTTCTTCCAAACATGAAAACTAAAAATGCCCATAAAATAACACAAGATTATAAACAAGAAAGACAGGATGCCGATAGAAATGGAAGGCTTACAACAAGCAAAGGAACGAGACTGTTAAAAGCATCGTTGCCAGTTTTCTCAGCATGGAGCTTAATGGAGCGCTTCATCATGGTGTTCTTACCCATCAACACTATGGAGTCACCGCGTAAACCCCTCCTTATACTTTGAAGCTGGTTGGAACCCACATTATCGGCCCCCACAACGAGAATCTGGGAATACTCATCGAGAAGACGGCAGAGCTTCTGGTCGTATTGGGTCTTCTTCTGTGCTTTGGTTGGCTTGATAGCCATTGTTCTTTGATGATCAAAAAGCAAAAAAGACTGTAAACTATAAAACCTAGGTGGTGGAAGAGCAGTGGCATTTTCGTTGCATGAGCATTTATAGTGGTGTTTTTGGGCTGTAAATGGTGCATTTGAGTAAGGGCCCACAAAATCAACATTTGGAACTTTAATGTTCATTCTTTTAATTTATTTATTTATTCACAGAAAGACACTTTTTGTTTTATTTGTAAATTATTTTCTTTTACTCTTTTATGTTATATAATAATATTATTTTTTAAATTTTAGTTTTAGTAGTCATAATTTATTATTATTTTCCTAATTTTCGATTGTAAATTCATTTGATTTTTAATTGATTGTCTTGATAATTTTTAAATTTGCACATGCATGTTTAATGATGCATGTTTGTTGATATACATTATTCATTGTTCTCACTTAAATTTTAATTTTTGTATATATAAACCTCTTGTTAATTCAACATTTTCCTCAATTAGAGTCTGTTGGGCAATATTACTAATAGCTGGTAGCTGTCTATAGAGTAATTTAAATTAAAAGTGTTCAGTAAAAATAATTGTTTAACGTAAATTAGTTGTCTATAAATTATGTCAGTCTGAAGCTAAAGTGAATTTAAACTAATATATTATAATAGAATCATCAACTAGTATTATGAATATTTTATCTCATTCTTAGTGAATTTTTATTTTATTGATATTTTGAATAGTAAATTTACAAATAATTAAATCTATTAGCTAACTTGGTATATTCAATTGTTTATTTTTTTGAATTCATAATTTGAATGTTAGAGAATGTAATAATTATTTTCTAAAATAAAATATAAAAATAAATAGATAACAAAATATAATTTTTATCTTAAAATCAACTAATATTATTTTCCTTAAAAATTCATTCTTGTGACTAATAATCTAATACTTCATTCTTTTTGCAAGTATCATCATGCTGAACATTAATTTGTTCTTTCGTATCATTATCTCCTACAAAATTATTAAAAAAATAATTAAGTAGCATATACAGTTTATATAAAATAATTATTTTGCCAATAAGAACATATTCTTGACAGTAACACCAAAAAATTATTGATAGCAAAAATAAATAATTCTTAATATCAAAAAGTAATTAAAACAAAACATATATATAATGATATGATAGAACAAAATTTTTTCATAATAGGATTCTAATTCCTAATTAGAATGAACAGAACTGTTCAATTAGTATTCTTAATATATACTTAATTTAGTATCTCTATAACATTAAAAATAATATAATTATTGTATATAAAATAATATGTTTTTTTTGAAGAGGATATAAAATAATATGTTATCAAATTACCCTTAAAAGATTTTATTGTAAATAAATTTATTTATTTCTTTATACAATAAATATATCATTGTAAATAAATACTAGTTATATATTTATTTATTTAAGTATTGAAAATTATATTGTGCCTAGTCCCAAACTACTAATAGAATTTTTTTTTTTTTTTTTGAGAAAATACCAATAGAAAATTTAAGTCTTAAATTATTGATTTAGATTTAAATATGGAATTTTTTAGTTGTATTTCTTTTTTCAATTGCAATTTATTTAAAATTTCAACAACAGTAAATACATTTAATTTTTTGAGAATAAATAAGGAAAAATTTATAAATGAGTTAAAATTTTAATACCACATTTTAATTCAATTGAGTTATTAATTAAATACTTCCAATTGTGTAACCTTTCTATAAGGAAAGACAAGACTATGAGATTCATGTGGACAAAACGACATTGAAAAGTTACCAAACGCAGACCAGTCCAGAGATAAATACCGACTCGAGAGTCTCAATACGACAGAATCCATTCGTCTAAGATTCAAAATTCCGCACAGCGTTTCTCTTTCTACATCTCTCATGTGCGAAGTTTCTCCGGTTCAGTTCTCACTGCATAGCAAGTGCTCCTTGGCAATGGGGAGAACCCTAGCCGTCACTCCCCGTCAGCTTCCGTTGAGTCTGCCTTTACCTACAAGATCTTCCGTTAAGTTTAATGGTAGAGTCTCAAGCTCAATTTCCACCTCTCTTGCTTTACGTGGCTCCGCCAGTACTTGTGTCCGTACGCTCAAATGCTCGGGTTCAATTTCTCAATCATATGGTACTTATTGCGTCATTTCAATCTCTTCATTTTGATAATTTTTGTTAATTCTGTTTGTTTGGTGAGAAAATAAGTTAATGAATTTGAATCGGTGACATTTTATGATTCTCTTCTCCTTTTGGTTCTCGAGGATTGGATGAAAGGAAATGAATTTTGAATTTTTGGGTTTTGATTTGATTACCAATAGAAATGACTGTTGGGGTCTGTTTAATCTAATCCAATTCTTGCAATCTGTTCAGTATAAAATGTACCAATAGGAAAGAGAGATTAACGGAAGTTTGGTATCTCCCTTTTGCTTCTGGAATTGAGTGGTTCAAAGTAATATGACTTTCGTGATCGTTAATTCTTTGATTTTGTGATCAATTCTTTATGTTTCTCATGCCTTTCGCATTTGGTTGCATAATTCTATTATGCTTTTTACTAGTCATGTGAGCTTTAATCAGTATGTCTTGATTTGTTCCAGCTGATCAATCAGAGAAATTTTTAGAAGCCTCCAAGAAGGGGAATATAATTCCTTTATACCGTTGCATATTGTGTGATCACCTTACTCCAGTTCTTGCTTATCGCTGTCTGGTTAAGGAAGATGATAGAGATGCTCCAAGCTTTTTATTTGAGTCAGTTGAACCTGGTTTGGATGCTTCCACTATTGTGAGCGTTTTGTTTTAATTTTCTTCATATGAATTTTCTGTATATCTTTGTGAATTTGTGGGCTCATATTTACCATTCAATTATGTTAGGGACGATACAGTGTTATCGGAGCTCAACCAAGTGTAGAGATTGTGGCTAAAGAAAATATGGTTACAATTATGGACCATTATGAAGGACTGAGGACAGAGCAGATTGTGGAGGATCCGATGGAAGTTCCTAGGAGAATGATGGAGGGTTGGACTCCCCAACTTGTTGATGAGCTTCCAGAAGTATTTAATGGTGAGATACATAGATTTAACATAATTGGATTGTTTATATTTCGACTTTTTATGTTCATTCTTTTACTTTATAATATAATGTCAAGTTTATGGTCTTGGGTAAGTTAGCTTCTTGATCTGGAGTTGGATTCACTATCTGCTTATGACATGGATATACTGTTCATCTACAATTTGATTTATATTTTTAAGTTATGGACAAATCAAAGGGTAATTCTTGTTAGACTTGTTTGTTTTATACACTTATTTTGATGCTATAATTGTCCTATCTAGAAACGCATCTTACATTGCATTGTATTGCTTGAAGGTATAATTTTCTATTTGCATAAATACAGATGTAGTTCTCACACCATTCTTGCTTAGCTCCAAAAAATACCGAGGTTTCATCAAATGCTTGCTAACATAAGGATGTGCTCTTTCTTGACCAGGTGGATGGGTCGGCTATTTCTCATATGACACAGTGCGGTATGTAGAGAAGAAAAAACTGCCATTTTCTACTGCCCCACCAGATGATAGAAACCTCCCTGATGTACATCTTGGCCTTTATGAGGATGTTATGATATTTGATCATTTGGAGAAGGTACTTTTACATTGACTTACAGGCAGTTTATCATTTTAAAGCTGATTTAGGTTGTAGCTCCTTTCTCTTTTCATTCTATATCAACCAATCTGCATACTTACATGCCATTCCCTTTTAGAAACTTGTGGATTTGATAACATTTATTATGAAATCATGTGTGAGGCCATATTTTTGAAATGATTGGAAATAAAAATTGTATGCTACATTATAAGAAATGATTAAATGCAACAAAGTCAAATTTTTATATTTCTACAGAAATGATTTCATAATGTCTTTCATGAATATATATTTTTTAATTTTGTAATTTTCCCCTCAGAAAGCATATGTTATTCACTGGGTGCGATTAGATCAATATTCTACTGTTGAGGAGGCCTTTAATGATGGGATTAACCGGTTGGAAAATCTTATATCTAGGGTGCATGATACAGATACGTAAGTAACCATTTTTTTTGGTTTAATCAATTGTTTATGCCATTTTTTCCATTAATTTATCATACAAGAATTGTAATTCAATCATCGATTTCAGACCTAGGCTACCTGCAGGTTTAATAAAGTTGTCAACCCGTCTCTTTGGCCCTAAATTAGAGACTTCGAGCATGACAAGTGAAGAATACAAGGCAGCAGTCTTACATGCTAAAGAGCATATACTGGCTGGTGATATATTTCAGATTGTATTGAGTCAACGTTTTGAACGTCGTACATTTGCTGATCCATTTGAGATCTACAGATCTTTGAGAATTGTTAATCCAAGTCCATATATGGCTTATTTACAGGTTTTCTGATTCACCTTTGAAACTATTTGTTTGAAGAGTTTACTGAAGTTTAAATTTAATTGACCACTGGGTTTATATGGTCCTTGCTGCAGGCTAGAGGGTGTATACTGGTTGCTTCTAGTCCAGAAATTCTCTCAAGTGTGAAGAAGGTAACAGTAACAAAGCAATATTGGATCAGACAAATAGTTTTCTATTCTTTTTGTTTTTTTTCCAATTTATTGTTGATGTTGATTGACAGAAAAAAATTATAAACCGCCCCCTTGCTGGGACTGTTAGGAGGGGAAAGACACCTAAAGAAGATAAAATGCTGGAGAAGGAACTTTTGAATGATGAAAAGCAATGTGCAGAACATATTATGTTAGTTGACTTGGGAAGAAACGATGTGGGAAAGGTTGGTTCTTTTTTTACATGAATGTAAAAAGTGTTGCTCAGACTAAGTTGGCAACTAGTTGTAAATTACATCAAATGCTGCTACTTCATGAGTGTTTCCATCAATATTTGTATGTGTGGTCATAAATCTTTATCTAAAGCAGGCTGTTCATGCAGGTCTCCAAACCTGGTTCTGTGAAAGTCGAAAGGCTCATGGATATCGAGCGATATTCTCATGTTATGCACATCAGCTCAACAGTAAGCATCTCTTATTATAGTTTAAGAATACAAGTATTTTGCAGTGAAAAAATTAAATATTATTTGTTCTATGTGTTATCTTGATAAATCAATGACTTCGGCACATGCAAATACTTGGTATTAAAAGGTGCCGGTTTTTATGGAAATTAAACTTATGGATATTGTATGGTTCCTTATATTTCTTTTTAAATTATTGCTGTTAGCAATGCAAGCTTTCTCAAAGGAAATTCCTGTTAGGTTGTTATGCTCTTAGGGATCAAATCAAACTCCTTTCTTGACAAAATCTCTCACTTGGTTACTAAGATGATTCTTGTCTCTGCAGGTCACTGGAGAGTTACTTGATCATTTAACTAGCTGGGATGCATTGCGTGCTGCACTACCTGTTGGCACTGTTAGTGGGGCACCGAAGGTTTACTCTTATAAACTCCTTTTGATTCTATTTACACGCATTCATACTCTCTTTGCCGAAATCTTCTGATACCTAAATAATCTATCTCTACCCTATATAAACTCAGACCCTTTTGTTAGATTCTGAAGTTGATGGTTCTGTTTTAAGATCCTCATAACCGTCTGGGTTGATTCTTTGTCGTGGTTCTTACCAATAGCTCTGTTGGATGCAGGTAAAAGCAATGGAGTTGATTGATCAGCTAGAAGTGACAAGACGAGGTCCATATAGTGGTGGCTTTGGAGGCATATCGTTTTCTGGAGATATGGATGTTGCCCTAGCTCTCAGAACTATGGTCTTTCCTACTAGCTTCCGGTATGATACAATGTTTTCATACAATGACATGAACAAGCGACGAGAGTGGGTTGCTCATCTGCAGGCTGGGGCTGGTATTGTGGCTGACAGTGATCCTGCTGATGAGCAGAGAGAGTGTGAGAACAAAGCTGCTGGTCTGGCTCGTGCCATTGATCTTGCAGAAGAATCATTTCTCAAGAAATGACTAAATTAAGGAGTTTCATGTTTTTTTTTTTTTTCTCAAGTAGTTTGTGCTCAAATTTAAGTGTTTTATGATGAATTTTTGGTTATATTTGGTTTTTTAATTCGGAAAATAGGCTTTTATTTTAAGCCTGCTGTGTGATTTTCTTCGATGAGTAGGTACTGGGCAATTAAAACCCATTTTGGGTAAAAATTACAAGTCATGGAGTAACGTTTTTGGGAACTTTAAATATTAATATGACCGTTAAAACATTGAACACTCAAATTCTAAATAATAATATAAACTCTAACATATTAATATAAATTCAACATAGTATTTTGACTAAAGGTTGAGTTTGGTAATAATTAGCTTTTATCATCCTATGAAAAACTACTAAAACAGTTTTTTGTAACAGACCTTCAAGGTTAAGAACGTTGTGCTTTCATAAAAGATTGCGAATTTCAGTTTGCAAATGGGACATATCATTTTCTGGCTCTTGCGGTATTAAAACGCCGTGTAATTCCATCCAGTGACTATGAAGTCCGTTTATTTTAGGACAAAACGGAATAAATTGTCAGATAAGACAACAAGCCTACCTGATAACAAGGCACGTCGCCAGGGCATTTTTTTTTTATTATCCGAAGCGAAAACATTACTCCATAATTCCTCTCTATCCTCTTGGTCTTCGCAACTGCAACCTCCATAGGTAAGATTACTCAATTGATTTTTCCCTTTTCTTTTTATGTTTTCCTATTCATTTGTAATATAAGCTAATTCATCAGAATAAACAGGACCCAGTTGCTTTTTATCAGTTTTTAGTTATGAGTTTGCAAATATTTCAAAGTTCGTGTCTTTTGTGTTTGATGAAAGTTCTGTTAGTATTATTATTGGCTAATTGCTGCAGTGATAATTTCTTGATATCTTTTGTGTTTCTGTTTGCTGATCATCTTTACTCTTCTAATAAAATTCGGTTTCAACGTAATTGCGCTATTACTTGGTACTCTTCCTTTGATCTCTAACTCAATTATGTTACTCTCCAGTTCTTTAATTGGATCAATGCATGCTTTAGCTCTGGGGCGATCAAATTATTGTTGCTGGCATTCATCAAGGATCTTATGGTTGATTATAATGTTTATAATGCATGATTTTAGAGCGTTTCCATACTCTTGTGTACTTTTAGGAAACTAAACCACTATTTAAGGAATACCATTCTTTAAAACCCCCTTTCCCTTTGTTGTGAACTGTCTCGGGACCTTGCTTTGTAATTAGAAAGCCTCTAACTTCAACAACCGCTGAGAAGGTCTGGGGCCTTCCTTCCATGCAGGGTATTAAAAAACCTTGTCTTGGTATGAATTTGAATATTAAGCTGTGAGCATAACAAGGAATACAGAAAAATGGGTGTTTCCTTGTGCAAATGAATGGATAATCAGTCACTTTATAGTGGAAGGTGATGAGATGTAGAACTAAATGCTGAAGTCAGTTGATGAAACTGTAGGGTGTTTCTGAATTGAGGGTTGGATTATAAATCCCTCATTTCTTTCATCTTGAAATAGGGTATACAGTTAAGCAAGATATTTGTTGTCCTTGTTTGTAATGGAAACAAATATCCCCAACTTGTTTAAATGTTCTTGATTTTTATTGCACTTATCCAGGTCAGCAATTGTTCTTAATATGCATGCATGAGGAGCTGGTGAAATAGAACAGACTCTAGACCAGGGATTAGCTATGGGTACGACTAAGATCTACATAGTGTAAGTAATTCCCCTCTCTCTATTTCCTCCATCAGGCTTTGCTTCCAAGTTTGGTTGCCTTGATGTAAGATCATGAGCACGTGTAGCGTTTTGGCAGTTAGGAATTTGATCAAATTTTCTCCTTCCTGCCTTTTATAGGTACTACTCCTTGTATGGGCATGTGGAGACGATGGCACGAGAAGTGCAGCGAGGAGCTAATTCTGTTCAAGGTGTTGAGGCAACACTTTGGCAGGTCATTTTTGCCGATAAGAATGAGTTATTGTTAAAAGGAAATATAATAGTTATGAGAATGAGAGGAATTCACCTGATTTCAGGGGTCTTTATATTTTATTGGGTGGTGGGGGCAAGTGGAAAGTATTAATACCGGATGGATCAATATACTATTGATGAAGTATTAACTTGATGAACTGGAACAGGTACCTGAGACTCTCTCGAATGTGATAATGCAAAAGGTGAAGGCTCCTCCTAAAGCAGATGATGTACCAGTCATTCAACCAGAACAGCTTTTGGAGGCTGATGGTTTTCTCTTTGGTTTCCCTTCTCGCTTTGGTGTGATGGCAGCTCAATTCAAGGCATTTTTTGATGCAACCGGTGAACTATGGGCATCCCAAGCACTCGCTGGAAAACCTGCTGGAATCTTCTGGAGTACTGGTTTCCATGGAGGAGGCCAAGAACTTACTGCGTCAGTTGATTCATTATCTAGCACATCTTCATCATTTTTTTAAATATTCAGGACTACTGATACAATGATAGTTGCATGTTTTTAGCATTTCGCATTTATTCTACTAAACATGCCTGGCTAGCTTGATCAGTTTGCTAAAAAGTTTTGCCTTGACATTAAGAAATAACGATTTCGAAAAAGCCTGTATATGCTTCGTTTGTTATCAAATCTCATAGGAACGATTTATACCATCACAGAGCATCAGTTCAGGTCTTTGACCCAGAAATTATAATAGCAGAAGAATGAAAGAAATAAATGAGTAGTACTAATTACAAATTAGTGACTCACCCATTTACCAAGAGACTTCTATCCAGGTATTTTGACATATAAATAGCATATTGCATGAAACCATTTTGTCTGTGGACATATTTACAATAATTTGTAACTTTTACTTTTTTTAAATGCATTTTGTGTGTTTATATGTTTGATATTATAATTTTCTCTCTTGTTACAAAAAGGTAGTAGTCATTTCATATTTCATTTATCTCCTGTTTGCAGATTAACGGCCATAACACAATTAGCACATCATGGTATGCTATTTGTTCCTCTTGGTTACACATTTGGAAGCGGAATGTTTGAGATGAATGAGGTGAAAGGTGGCTCTTCTTACGGAGCTGGAACGTATGCGGCTGATGGAACCCGTCAACCGACAGAATTAGAACTCAGTCAGGCTTTTCACCAGGGCAGATATGTTGCTGAAATAGCAAAAAAGCTCAAAGGTTAGAACCTGAGGAAGATGCATGTGCATAATAAGAATTACAGAAACAGAGATGGTTGCTGGGCGGTCTTTGGAATTGGCGATGGAAGCTCTCTCTTTTGAGAAAGAAAATCTCCTGGTAGTGTAAATAAACATGGAAGATAAAGGAAATCGAAGCATAAGAAAGGGAGATAACTCACTCAATTAACTTGAAGAAAATCTTTTGACTATCTATCTTTTGACTATCTGAATGTATATGATAATCTGAAGATATGCAAGGTAGAGGTGAATATGGTCATTACACTGTAATCTTTTTATGGCTTTTCACTAATTTATCACTTCAATTTCCCTTTTATGTAAATGTTACTCCATAGGCACAACTTTGAATGTTCTTTCTGCTTGCATATAAATTAGAAAAAATTAATTAGTACTTATTAATCTTTTCATGACAACTTTTCCAAAACCATCGAATTTCATGTATAAGCAAAAACTAATAAAATAAAAGAAGCATTAAGAATGTGGTAAATACCAACTATTAGTTGGTCTAGTGGGATGAGGCAGGTGCTGGATCCCTTAAGCAATATTCAGGATTCAAATTTTAACATTATGAATGGAGAAAATTAGGTAAAATCTTAACATTGTTAACAGAGAAATTTGGTTGAATGAGTTTCGCATAATGATTTAACCGTTCTTTTTTTTTTTCTTTTGTTAAAACACATGCTCCAGTACAAATTTTAATTTTTTCTGTTGTTTTGTTTAGATTCTGATTGGAGTTTCCGTGTAGAAAACGACATCGTTTTGAAGCTGTAATAAGAAAAATGAAAACTAATTCCAGTTGAAGAAACCAAAAACCAAAACAAAAGAGACTCTCTCCTCTCTCTCCAATTACTCACACACGAACACGATTCTCAAATAATGGAGTCCTTCTTGCGAGCGTGGACGGGTCAGGACCCAAACCCGGACGACTACAAGAACATTGAGTTCTGGTCAAATCCAGAGCGCTCCGGTTGGCTTACAAAGCAAGGCGATTACATCAAGACGTGGCGGCGGCGCTGGTTCGTCCTCAAGCAAGGCAAGCTCCTCTGGTTCAAAGACAACCATGTCAACCGGCAGTCAATTCCACGTGGCGTCATCCCAGTTGGCAACTGCTTGACTGTCAAAGGCGCCGAGGATGTTCTTAACAAGCCTTTCGCTTTTGAGCTGTCTACAAATCAAGATACTATGTATTTTATCGCTGATTCGGAGAAGGAGAAAGAAGAGTGGATCAATTCGATTGGAAGGTCAATTGTACAACACTCTAGGTCTGTCACTGATTCTGAAGTTGTCGATTATGATAGCAAGCGGTGATTTTTCTTTCTTGCTCTTTCTTGTAGAAAATACGCAATATGTTGGTGTTGTTGTTTATTTATATGTATGCTATTTGTGTGTGTTTATGTATGTAATTATGGATCTTTCTTGTTTTTGGATTGAGTGGAGATTTTGTATGGTTAATAATTTGGTTTTGTTGTGAGTTTGTTTTGCTCTTTGTTGAGAATTATATATTTTTCTTGAATTTGTGTTGCTTATTTTGTTTTTTTGGGGGCAATTGGATATGCATTTTGTGATTGAATTTCTGCTTCGGTAAAGACTGGAAGAGATGATTGTAGAGAGATTGATTTGCTTGCCTGCGTTGGCTTACCATTATGGCTCTAGTCTTCTTGGTTGTCTATTGTGTATTGGGCATGTGAAGAAAAGGTCTTTGTTTAGATATCACGTTATTTATAGATGAAATTGTAGGATTTGGTGGAATAAAGGTTTTAAGTTGGTAGCTGACAAGTTTGATTCTTCTAAATTTCTTCTGCAAACAGAATATGCAGAATGATGATGGTTTAGCTCTTCAAATGAAACTGAATTGTTTGAGTTTACCTTCATATAATTGACTCACTTAAACTCTTGGCGATGATAGATAATAGGAGTAGGGTAAGGATCATGTGGAAGTTTAGCTTTCGAAGAGTTTCGTATTAAGCTTTATATTTACAGAGAAATGCAGTATTTGAAAGACAGTTTAGCATTATTTTCATTTGCTTGCAGAAATGTTTGTTTTTTTTAATATTACTGAACAATTCATCTTACTGAAATATAAAGGAGGAGGAAAGTGTCTTAGGACATGATGCTATTTTCATTATAGCAAACTTAAAAAAGGTCTAATAGAAAAATGGGATTTTTCTAAGATATAAACTTGAAATTATTAGTTTAGCAGCAAGAGCTACCAATTTCATGCATAAAAGTTTCTATCTTTATCACACAATTTGAGTCCCAAAAAGTTCATCCTTGATTGGACACAATCCTTTTGCTGCATCATTAATGTCCATTCGGACTTTGAATGATTCAGCAGAGCACATGACTCCAGTTTTTAAGGTTGAAACCAAATACTCTTGCATTTTTTTCCTGTTCATACCAAAACTGGCCTGGATTTCTTTTGGCTGCTGCATCATCTTCTTTCACTAAGCCTGCAAAGCTGTGGCTCTGCAATCCAAATTACTTGTTCTGGAAAAGCCACCTTTGTGAAATTATGCGGGTTCAGACTATCTTTAAACATGTCATCGGTCTTTTGCTTATAAACATTTCCAGGAGTAGCATCCCAAAACTATACACATCTGAGTCATTGTTGCCTCACTGCCCTTGGCATTCTCTCCACTTTCACACATCAACTCTTAATATTAATATGCTATGACTAAGCATAATGCATGAATCTGACATTAAGAAAGTAGAAGTGATAACTTGAGTTAAAAACTACTGTTTTTTTTTCATTGCTTTAATGCATTAATCAATCATGTTCTGTTACATTATTTATGCATGGCTTGTGGTGAATAGAGGGGGAAGGGAAGTTCATGGAGGGGAAACCACCCTTTTATACTGTTTGACATTTATTTTTCTTAAAGGAGAAGGGGAAAGAAAGTTTATAGTTCCCCTCCATTTCTCTGTAGAAGTTAAAATTGGTTACATCCCAATATGGAATGTAAACCATTTCATCTTGTTTGACATTTAAGTGTTTCAAAAGGGCACTGGGAAAGGAGGTGTATAATTTTCCTTCATTCCTCTTCTAGGAGTTAAAATTGGTTACATTCCAATTTGGAATGTAAATGATTCAACTTAGTGAAAGTGAAACTGATTCTATTCAATTTGTTCGTTTTATCCTTGCGATTTTATTAACATTTAAATAAAAAGAAAAGTTGTAAAGAAAAAACAAAAAATGGTTTCTTGCCTAGTGTTATGTTGTGAAGGAATTCTATATTTCCTTTTATGAACAAAAAAGTGGTTTCTTGCCTGGTTTAGTGGGTAGCTTGAGCTTGTTGCTAAGTTGGACATTCTTGATTCTCCCCCTCCGGGAATGACTTCCCGGCTTTTGCATGACGTTATTGCCATATCATATGCTAGATCGATTGCGTAGTAGTTTTTGAGCTTTGGCTCCCCTTTATTGTACCCAAAAAAATAAAAAAAGGTTGATTATATTTAAAAATCCTTTTGTTGGTACTTCTCCTCCGAGAGATTGAAAGACAGTTTTAAGTATTCCCAGAAAGGAAAGGTTTTGAAAATATTTTGGGATTTGTCCAGAAATCTGGGTATGAGAAAAATCCAACACTTGATTTGTTTTCAAAGAAAGAAGAAGTTCCTCTTAAATACAAATATTTCAAGCCTACGCAATTTGCAATGCTATCTTATCTCACCATAAAATTGATTTCCTGAGATATCCAATGAAGCAAGGCCCGTCAAGTGGTAGGGCAACTTGAAGGGCTGTGAGATTGTTTAAGAGACAAGTGGTAGGGTAGTTGATGGGACTGTTCTACCTAAGTGGAAAAGCCTCGAAATCTCCCATTTTCTCAAATCCCGCCAAGTCAACTTGTCTATCTGGTCAATACATCAATTTAAGGCCTGCCATTAGGTTTTTTCACTCTCAAAATTGCATACCTTGACTACACTCAATAGAACTCTGTACGAAAACCATAATTGACATATGTAATTAATAAAATAAAAAATACTGGCCGAATTTGAACAAAAAAAACTTTTGAGGCATGCTTTTCATGATTAAGCATAAGAAAAAGGACGAAATGTCAAAATAAGGAGTGGGCCCATCTTGAATTGGGAGTTTTCTTTAAATAGAATTTGAGACCACAACTAAATGATTAATTTCATAACTTACAGCTTCATTAATTTATTTATTAACCTTCCGTTATAGTTTGGAATCATAAAACTACTGTTTTTGGACATCAAATTACTTCAGAAATTTAAGAATCCATTAATAAAAAATAGAAAAAACTTTTGAATCTGTCAAATATATAGCCACACATCACTGTCACTTTTGGTATAGTACAAAGATAAGCAAGCTATCAAGTCTCTCAATATTCACAGGATCATACAGGAAGAAACCAAAATCAAGAAATGAAGAGGGCAGAGCTAATTTTCATTCCAGCTCCTGGAATTGGTCATATAGTTTCAACTATCGAGTTTGCAAAAATCCTCATCAATCAAAATGATCAAATGTTCATCAAAATTCTTGTTATGCGTTTACCCTTCACTCCTTTTATTGATTCATACACCAAATCTCTTACTGCCTCTCAACCCAACATCACTCTAATCGACCTTCCTCAAGTAGATTTTCCACCTCTAGATCTTTTGGCCCAATCTGTTGAAAGCTATGTTTGTGCAGTAATTGAAAATCAAAAAACCCATGTCAAAAAAATTGTTTCTGATATTGTATCTTCAAAATCTACCCCAGATTCAGTTCCACTTGTTGGGATAGTTCTTGATTTCTTTTGTGTATCTATGATTGATATTGGAGATGAATTTGGTCTCCCTTCTTTTATTTTCTTGACTTCTGGTTGTGGTTTCTTGAGTCTAATGCTTTCTTTACCTTCTCGCCATGAGCAAATTGGTAAAGAATATACATCCTCTGATTCTGATTTCTCAATTCCAGGTTTTATCAATCCTGTCCCTGCAAGGGTTTTGCCTGCAGCAGTTTTTAACAAAGATGGTGGCTATGATGCTTATGTTAAAGTGGCTCAAAGATTCAAAGATGCTAAAGGTATTATAGTTAATACATTTTTTGAACTTGAATCCTATGCAATTGAGTTCTTTAACAGTGGCAGAATCAAAACCCCTAAAGTTTATCCGGTTGGACCGGTACTAAACCATAAAGGGCAGCCTCATCCTGATATGGATTATAATGAGTGGAACAAGAACTTGAATTTTCTAAATCAACAACCTGAATCATCTGTGTTGTTTTTATGTTTTGGAAGTGCTGGTGCTTTTAGTGCATCTCAAGTTAAAGAACTAGCATTTGGGTTAGAGCAGAGTGGGTACGGATTCTTATGGTCAATGAGAGTTCCTCCAATACAAAATGAAGAATCTAAATTCAAGAATCCAGAGGAAATGTTGCCTGAAGGATTCTTGGAAAGGGTAAGAGGAAGAGGAAAGGTTTGTGGGTGGGTTCCACAAGTGGAAGTTCTTGCACATAAGGCAATAGGAGCTTTTGTATCTCATTGTGGATGGAATTCTATTTTGGAGAGTTTGTGGTATGGTATGCCTATTCTCACATTGCCTATATATGCAGAGCAGCAGCTTAATGCATTTACTATGGTGAAGCAATTGGAATTGGCAGTGGAGCTGAGATTGGATTATAGGCTACAATGTGATATTGTCAAGGCAGAGGAGGTTGAAAGAGCTTTGAGATGTGTAATGGAAAGGGACAATGAAGTCAGAAAGAAAGTGCAAGATATGGCAGTAATGGCTAGAAATGCTGTTATGGAAGGAGGGTCTTCATTTAATTCAATTTCAGAGTTTCTTGAGGATTTAGAAGGTAACAGATATGGAAATTATTAGGAAAAAATATTACTATCACCGATTTAAAAAGATAGTCTACTATTTATTTTCACACGCACACTTAGCTTTTCTATAAAAATAAGGTAATTTAACAATGGTGTAGTAAATAATTCAAAGATTAACTATAATACAGAAAAGAAAAATAAACTATATTTCGAGACAAACTAAAAATGAAAAATGGATTATTTTTTTGGACGGCGGAGTATTATTTGCTGATGTTATCTTTTTTTTTCTTTTTATTTTTTTTTAATTAGTATTTTCTGATATTGTCAATTGCTTGTTTGGCGGTGAAGATAATGTCATATGCCAAACACTAATTGACAATATATTGTATTTGGGAATTGGTATGGTACGTGATCTTTTTGTTATGAGAACGATGAACATGTGATGTTTATAATAATTTATTACAGGTAGGTGAGATCATTTTTGCATTATAAAATGAATGGCTGAGGATTTGAAACTTTAGAATAGGGACCCAAAAAGGACATTTTGCAACATATTGTCACTTGTTTTTAGCTTAAAGTTAACCATTATTTTTGTTTTTTAAGCTATATTTAGTATCAAACATATAATGATCACAGTGGGAGTCACCACTGCTAGACCCATTATTCAGATAACTCGAATTTCAATAATTATAAAAAGAACTTTCTAGTTCATTAAGAAAAGAATGATCAGTTTCAATCTCAAAAACTTGATTTTCAATATCAAAATATATGGAATAACTGTCCCTATTACTATCTCTAACTAAAAAAGTTTCATCAACGCTGAAATTATACTGTTTAGTAATTGATATAATGTATAAGTGAGTTCATATACAGTGTTGATAAGTATTTAATGTATAGTTCTTAAAATTTTTGATATGATACAAGGCATAGCACCAGCTAAATAAATACAATCATGTGGGGTACATAGAATTATTTTAGGATACATATTTATTTCTTAACATTTTTTTTCTTTTTTAATATTTGAGGGAAATAAGAAAAGGAAAATCAAATCCTGAAAAAATTTAATAGAATTGTATATTTGATAAAAAGGACTAATCTTTAATTTTATTCCGAATTTTTCGAATAGTTACAATTTCACTCTCAATAGACATTTGCTCTGATCTTATCTACTTAATTGTAATTACACCCTAATTTGCTTTTAGGGTGCAAAGTAAATTACAACACCCTGAATTTGTTGATTTGTTACAATTACATCTCAAAAGTAAACTAAGATTGAAATTTGATTAAAATAATTTTAAAAAATGGATTCCATATCCAAGTATTTAAACGATAAATAATAAAATCAAGTCCAAGTATTCATATAATAAATAAAAAAATAAAAAATTAAGTATTTGATTTTAAAATTGAATAAATTTTAAGATGTAAAAATAATAAATTAGATGTTAATGCAAATTAGATTGTAATTGCATCAATTTGATGATGCAAAAGTTATAATATTTTGTCTACTAAAAACAAGACTAATGAATAGTGAGTGCAAAGTTCATGGAATCTCATCAACTTATAATCTCCTTCTAATGCTAAAAAATATAATAATAAAAAAAGTAGAGAGCTTGCTAATGTTTTTGTTTTTAGGTCATAATACTTAGCGGGAGTAATAAGGTTAATGTTTAATTGTTTCATGTTAGATCCTCTCATTTTTCAAAATTTATAAATTTACTTCTATACTTTTCACAAAAAATATTATGATACCTCAGATAAATTAATTAATTATTATATAATAAATAATTGAATTATTCAATAAAAATTTTCTAAAGAATAAAGCAATTAATTTTGAAATTTTATAAAAAAGTAGAATATTGAAAAAGGATAATGCCAAAAAAAGATAGAATATTGAAAAAAAGGGGATAATGGCCAAATTAAATATTATAGTATACTATAATTAATATATATATATAATTAAATATTATAATATCTAATTTATAAATAGACAAAATTAAATTTTTTTAAAAAACTTAAAATTTTTTTAAAATGACTATTAAGTTTTTTTAAATTACAAATTACAATATTAATATATATTTGTTAAAAATTAAATTTCACTTATTATGATATTTTCAGCATACCTCAAAATTTCATTAAAAGATATTTTAGGAATTCATCAAATAGGATAAAATAGCAAACGGCAAAAGAGGAGTAGCCCCCAACAAGTCAATGACGCACTTTAACGCTGTAGCCATCGTTCTCTCTCGCGAAATCCCAAACTCCGCAATTATAAAACTGTTAATAAACACAGACCGTCCCTTGCATAAAAGCAACCAAGTCGTACACTCTCTCTCATAGATCAATGGCAACCAATTTAAACGCAATCTAAAAAGAAGCTGCATGCTGCAAAATGCTTCGGCTCAGGCCTCTCTTTACCGTTACTCACCAGCACAGTAGAGGACTCTTCACAGTGTCGCTCTTTCATATTCCTTTCTCCACTCGATTAGTCGCTCTCGCCAAAGGTGTTCGAGAGATATACCGGGCCAACCAAATCTCTAACAACTTGGAACACTCTCATTCGGCTTATTATGCTTCAAGCCCAGAACCCATTCTGGGCCTATTGAATATTTATACCGAATGCTTCATGAGAGTCTAGATTTTCCAAATAAGTTCACTTTCCCCTTTTTGGTTATCAAGAATAGACAAAATTATAATTTTTTAAAATTAAAATTTTTAAATGACTATTTAAGTTTTTTTAATTACAATTACATATTATATATATTTGTTAAAATTAAAATTTCTTATTATGATATTTTAGCATACCTCAAATTTCATTAAAGATATTTTAGGAAATTCATCAAATAGGATAAATAGCAAACGGCAAAAGAGGAGTAGCCCCCACAAGTCATGGCAACTTTAAACGCTGTACCTCGTTCTCTCTCGCGAAATCCAAACTCCGCAATTATAACTGTTAATAACGACCGTCCTTCTAAAAGCAACCAGCGTACACTCTCTCTCATAGATCAATGCACCAATTTAAAGCATCTAAAAGAGCTGCATGCTCAAATGCTTCGCTCAGGCCTCTTCTTTGACCGTTACTCAGCCAGTAAACTCTTCACAGTGTCGGCTCTTTCATCCTTCTCCAACCTCGATTATGCTCTCAAGGTGTTCGAAGATATTACCCAACCAAATCTCTACACTTGGAACACTCTCATTCGCGCTTTTGCTTCAAGCCCAGAACCCATTCTGGGCCTATTGATATTTATCCGAATGCTTCATGAGAGTCTAGATTTTCCAAATAAGTTCACTTTCCCTTTTGTTATCAAAGCTGCTGGAGGGATTTCTTGTTTGCCTGTTGGGAAAGCTATTCATGGGATGGCTATTAAGGCTTCACTGGGTTCGAATTTGTTCATTTTAAACTCGCTTATACATTGTTATGCTTCTTGTGGAGATATGGATTCATCCTATCTGGTGTTTATGAATATTAATGAGAAGGATGTTGTTTCTTGGAATTCGGTTATTACAGGGTTTGCACAAGGAGGCTTTCCTGAAAAGGCATTAGAGTTGTTTCAAAGAATGAAGGCGGAGAATGTGAGTCCGAATGATGTAACAATGGTGGGTATTTTGTCTGCCTGCGCAAAGTCGATGGACTTAGAGTTTGGGAGATGGGTTTGCCAGTATATTGAGAGAAATGGGATTAATGTGAATTTGACTGTGACTAATGCGATGCTTGATATGTATTTGAAAACTGGAAGTATTTTAGAAGCAAGGAGATTGTTTGATAAGATGGAGGAGAAAGATATTTTTTCCTGGACAACCATGATTGATGGCTATGCAAAAAAGGGAGATTTTGATGCAGCTAGGAATCTTTTTAATGCCATGCCGAGAAAAGATATATCTGCATGGAATGTGCTAATTTCTGCTTATGAACAGAATGGAAAGCCAAAGGAGGCTTTGGCCATTTTCCACGAATTGCAGCTCAGTAAGGCTGCAAAGCCAGATGAAGTCACACTTGTAAGTACCCTTTCCGCATGTGCTCAATTGGGAGCAATAGATGTTGGTGACTGGATCAATGTTTACATCAAGAAGCAAGGCATTAAGTTAAACTGCCATCTCACAACGTCACTTATCGATATGTATTCCAAATGTGGTGATCTAGATAAGGCACTTGACATTTTCTATTCAGCAGAGAGAAGAGATGTGTTTGTTTGGAGTGCCATGATTGCTGGTTTGGCAATGCATGGCCGCGGAACGGATGCTATAGATTTGTTCATGAAAATGCAAGAAGCTAAGGTAAAGCCCAATGTTGTGACATTTACCAATTTGTTATGTGCTTGTAGCCACACAGGATTAGTGGATGAAGGGAGGATGTTTTTTAATCAAATGGAGTCTGTTTATGATGTTGTTCCTGGAATCAAGCACTATGCTTGTATGGTTGATACCCTTGGTCGTGCAGGTCTTCTGGAAGAAGCTTTTGAATTCATAGAGAAAATGCCAATAGCCCCTAGTGCTTCTGTATGGGGAGCTCTACTAGGAGCCTGTAGAATCCATGGGAATGTCAAGCTTGCTGAAATGGCTTGTAGCCGTTTGCTGGAAATAGACCCTGAAAATCATGGAGCCTACGTGCTTTTATCCAATATATATGCCAAAACAGGGAAATGGGAAAATGTTTCTGAATTAAGGCAGTGTATGAAAGTTAATGGAATTAAGAAAGAACCAGGTTGTAGTTCAATAGAGGTTGATGGTGTAATTCATGAATTTCTCGTGGGAGACAATTCTCATCCTCTCTGCAAAGAAATATACAAAAAGTTGGATGAGATTATTGGTAGATTAAAATCTGCCGGTTATGTGCCCAACGCGTCCCATGTTCTGCAATTTGTTGAAGAAGAAGACATGAAGGAGAAGGCCCTTAACCTTCACAGTGAAAAGCTAGCAATTGCCTTTGGGCTTATCAGCGTGGGTCCATCGCAACCAATCAGAATTGTGAAAAATCTTCGTGTTTGTGGGGACTGTCACTCAGTGGCTAAGCTCATATCTAAGCTTTACAATAGAGATATACTATTAAGAGATCGATATCGATTCCATCATTTTAGTGGAGGGAATTGCTCATGTATGGATTACTGGTGAACATGGAGTTGAAGATTTCTCCTCAGTCTCTAGAAATGATATCAAATCCTTGCTAAGTTTATTTCCTGAAGCAGCAGGATCGAATTAGATATTGCTGGATGATATAATCACTTGGTGGAGGTGGAGTTGAAAACAAGTCATATTGTCAAAAAATCAAACACTTGTTAGCATTGTATCTGAGATCATTTCAGCATTGCAAAATGAATGGCTGAAGATTTGAAACTTTGTAGTAGTGTTCAACAAGGACAGATCTGCAGTATAAGTTTATTGTTAGGAGCAGCAAACTCAGTGATGATCACATATTAGTGAAATGATACTATGTACTATTCAAATTGAACCCTAAATTTCATGTAATTTCAGCAAGTTTTGAGCCAGTATTTTTCTCTACTAAACTTTATATCTCATATTGGGACACTTAAATCCTTTTACCTCTTAAAGATGTTATGAAATTTAGGTCGGCCATTCTACACCGAAGGCTCTGAGCCAAAATTTATAAACTCTACTCTTTGCCTCTAACATGCTACTTCTAGTTATATAAATGTTTTTAAACATATTTGTACTCAAAAATATATTTCATACAAAAATAGTCAATGAAAGATCTTTTAAAAAATTATTTTTTTTTAATGAATGGTCAAAAAATAATTTTATTTGAATCAAAAAATTATATATATATATATATTAAATAGCGTAGTGTACGGATGGAATGTACACCCGCTTAAGCAAGTTCTATACCAAGTCTCTACCTTTTAACAGTCAAGGATAACTCTTGAGTCTTGACCAAGCACCAAATAAACCCAGTAAAACATGCTTAAATCTCTCTGTCAGTTATGACTCAGATTAACAAACGGAACATTTTCCATTTTGATTTTGCCACGCGTCAACAACCCACATTCTAATGACATCCGTACACTTGCCTTTCCTTTATAATTTGGCAAAGTATATATATACTGATATTATAATAGCTTTTCTCTGCAATTCCAATTCCCATCTCCATTTGTTTCCATTTGTTTTGTACAACAATGGAAGCTTTAACCAACAGCTTGTCGTTCAACATCTTTACAACAATCAGCAGCAAGAATCGATCACCGTCCAATTTAACTCTATTGGGTCGATCTGATGTTGGCTTTTCACCATCTCTAAATTTCAAGAGACTTCATTTTGATGATCATTTGGTTTCATTTCGATCCAATATCACTAAATCTCTTGTGGTGTTTTGTGCTGCTACTGAGGTACCTTTCCCTTTTTCCTTTCTGAGAAATTATTTTTTGTCGTTTCATATTAACTGACTGGCAGACTGCTGATCATCATTTACTGCACCTAAAAAACAAAGATCGCTTTGACATTAATCACTTGAAATTTACATGTTAATTTCTCAGGCTGATCATATGATAAAGTAATCTCCTTAACACGAAGTTTTATCATAAAGAATCCTATTATGGATGAATTTCTAATGCAAATTGAATATGTTAACTGAGATATATTTCTCTCTGTCAAATACTATAAATTGGAATTGCATGATATTTTAGATTTCTTAAATTTAATTTTTTTTATAATGGTAATTATATTTCTATTATTTGACTAATTTTTTTATTTAAAGTACCCAAAAAAAAGGAGGTAAACTATCTCAATTTAGTTTATTACATAGTAGCTGAAGACTGATATTTCCTTAATTTTTGGACCTGCATTCATTGAAAGAGTGTTTCAATACTTCAGTGATGGTTTTACAATTTTCTTAGCAACGCAAGACCACAGGTATAAGCTATGCCTAGTGTTTTGGTTTTACATATTTGCATTGCCTATATTCAAAAGCATTGCTATTTCTTATATGGTGTTCCTGCTTTTCTAACTAAGCCTAGTGTTCCATACGAATTTCGGAATTACTTTATCATGGAACATGATCGAATTAATCTGAAACTGTAAGCTTGTTTATATGTCAAACAGGTGATAGGCCTGGAAAATCAGCTAGCCGACCACCAAATGCGTGAGTCACGACATTCTTCGCTTTCCACATTCTTGAGTTGAAGTATAATTACTATAACTTGTAACTTATTATGCGAAACTTCTTTGCTTCTTAGCAAAACCAAAGACTGTTCGTGTGAAATTCCAGTTGCAGAAGGAGTGCTCCTTTGGGGATGCATTTCTCCTGGTGGGTGATCACCCAATGCTTGGTTTGTGGAACACCGTGGATGCTATTACAATGAACTGGTCAGATGGGAACATCTGGAATGTTGAGTTGGTATGGCAGATTATTTTAACAGAACACTAACCCCTTGTTTCTTGGTCCAAAATGATACAATTTTGTTAGTTATGCTCAACTCTACAAAGCTAATGTAAAATGAATATTTTCTTTCGTAAAAAATATGAAAAGATTTAAAATTAACTTCACCAAATTTTCTAGAGTTCAGTGCATAAATGATTTCCAGGGATTTAATGCGAATTTTGATAAAGATTTTGAATTTTGGTCAGGATGTGCCCATTGAGACAACAGTCCAATTCAAATTTATACTCAAACAAAGCACAGGAGAACTGCTTTGGCAGCCTGGACCAGACAGAATTTTCAAAAGTTGGGAAAGCGAAGGCACCTTAGTTGTTACAGAAGATTGGGAAGATGCTGCAGCTCAGAAAATTACAGAGGAACAAATGAACAATCCAGATTTCGAACCCATTGTTCACGATGGTGTAATGGTTTCAGGTAACACTATCTATGCAGAAGAAAAGGTTAACAGTGAGGTTTTCGGCAGAGAAAGTAGCAGCAGAACACTGGTACCCGGAATGGCAACTAGTGAAAACAATTGAAGAAAAGAACTTGGGTCCATGATCATGATGCCTCATTTGGAGTGGATGCAGCTAAAGAGTAGAAGATGCTTGAAATAATTTTTTATGAACTAAGATTTTTCATTCCTTAACTTATCTTTTGGTAGCAAGATTCCATGCATTCTGGCTATAATATAATACATTTGCCAATCTAAAGCTTGAGAATGAATTGTGTAAATATGGACCTTGTTTGGCTTTTCTATTATATTTTTTGAGATGCTATCGAGTTCGTTTTATGCAGAATATAATTTCATTTTGTCTTCTACTCTTTTATAGTGGAAAATTTAGTTTACTTCTGAATCTATATATGCAAGCCATGTAAGAGACAGACTTCTTGCATGAGAAAAGGAGCCACTCAATTAATCAGGTTTAGAGCTATATGACCCTTAGCAGGGTTAGGCTTGCTTGATAAATTCACTGCAAAAAGTAATTGTTTCGTATGGACTAACTAGATTAACAGAAATGGTTGATTCTTGTATTTCTTTGTACAAAACCTCAGTTTATAACATTCTGGTATATCCAGCTTCTTGTTAGTGCTACCTTTTACTCTTGCTGGATAGCTAGCTATTTAAAATGGTTGGTTGAGCATGACATTTTGTGTTCAAGTGCAAGTAAAACCATTACAAATTCAACCCCAATGCTCAATTATTTCAAATGATGAATCGGCCACTGTTCATACAAGTCAGAGAACAAAAAGGCCTGCATAAATAATTTTACCTTATCTTAAAACCACCATAATCACATTTGGACCAACCAATCCACAGTAAATATCTAGCCAGATAAATTGAAGGAAAAACAAGACATATTTCCACTTAATCAGTAGATTGACCATATCATCTCATTTCTAAAGGACTATGAAAGGAGGCAACCAAACATTTTACACATTTTATATCTAATGAAAAGAAAACTTGGGATATGAAACTGAAGAATATTATCTCATCTCAATATAAAGTCTCGCAATTAAAATTTTCCCTCAGACATTTCAGCCGCATCAAAGTGTCCCTCCCCCCTCTCCAGCCCTTTTCCAAAAAAGAATCAACTACTCTGAGAATTCAATGATTTTGAATGGCAAACATATCATCAGATGTCCTGCTGAATTATGCTGCAACATTGTAGATACCCCAATGTCAAAATTTACAAGCTAAGCAAAGTACAGATAGACCTTATACAGCTACAAGAATAATAAGTCATTGCTCTTGGAATAATCCCGTTGCATATTGGTAAGCCTGAAATGGTGCTCCTCAGGGATTCTCATCTCTCTGATTTACGCCTGTGATCATCTGTTCCTTTATGACGACTGGAGGAAGAATCCCTACCATGGACAGGTCGCTTGTCCCCTGCTCTTCTATCCCAGTCTTCTCTAAGATGGGATTCCGATTCATGCCTCTTTAATCTCTTGTCCTCCCTCCTATCATCATCGTCTCTTGACCTTTGCTCCAATCCATCACCATCATGCCTTCTCAATCTTCTTTCATCCCTCTTATAATCATCTTCTCTTGACTTTGGCTCAAATTCACCGTCTTCACGCCTTATTGATCTGTTTTCACTGCTCCTTGGATAATCTTCTCTTGATTTTGGCTCAGATTCATTGTTTTCATGCCTTCTCGATCTCTTCTCATCTCTCCTATAATAACCTTCCTTTGGCTTTTGCTCAAATTCATCATCTCCATGCCTTCTTGCTCTCTTCCCATCTCTCCAATGATGATCTTCTCTTGGCTTTCGCTCAAACTCATTATCATCATGCCATCTTAATCCATTGCCATCCCTCCTATCGCTTTGTTTAAGGTGGATCTCCGAGGGCCTTTCATTGATAGATCTTTTATCACTCCTCTTTGGACCCTCAAACTTGTCATGTCCAAATCTTAGGCTATTATCCTGAGGACCCCATCCTGTGTTTGCAGCTCTCTGGAAGCAAAAGAAAGTAAAGTATAAATAGGCACCTCAGACTAATTGAAACAGAATATATTTAACAGTATAATCTGAAGCTTTGCAGAACATTCAAATTCCCATTTAACTTCTAACTTCAGCACAAACCATCTCAATATTATTTTGACTGGAAAATATGTAAACAAAAAATAACTCAAGTAATGAGATAGAATGAACAATATCAAATAGAGAAAAGGTAAGCCAATAGAAAGTAATCATGTGGGAAAGCATCAACAAATGTGAGACCCACAATGTGAGCCGTATTGAAAAAGCCCCTACTATAGAACAAGCAATATAAATTTTATTTCAAACAATAATCACACATCATAATCAATTACTGTCAATAATGTTAAATGCAAAATTTGACCAACTACAATATTACAATCTGTATCTGTAATAATAAATCAGCATACTTATTATAGTATCCAAATGAGCAGTTTCAAAGCACGGATCATCTCTAGTTATCTGAATAGAAGAAAAATGAGGTACCCAAGAGAAACCTTGAAAGATAGGCAAGTCTAGTTATGTGAATAGAAATTAGCATGAGCCTATACAACACTACATAAGGTCTACATTGTTTATAAGAGAGAAAATCTCTGAATTCGCACCATAAATTCCTAGCAACAAAAAGTGTATAGAGTTTGATACAGCTAACTGCTTGCAGAGATCTGGATGTACATAGGTCAGGCAGGCACATTTTAATGATCCTTTCTGAATTAATCTACTAGTCTTACTTGCTCATCATGGGAAAATTTGCAGCTAGCTCCCCGAGTGCATTCACCTCTTTGGAAGGCACGGCACACACCTCTGGCTTCTCTCTTCTGACGTTCTGTTTCTTCATCCTCCTCTTCTTTCTTCTTGTAGTTACTAACATGATCAACCCTTACAATCCGACCAGCAACCTGTGCTCCATTCAGATTATCTGAAGAAAAATCGAAGCATATGTATTACAAACGAGTAATTTGGTAACTCTAATCATTATGGAGCCACAGTAGAAAAAGAGAACCAACCTACAGCAAGATTTGTACTTCTTTGATCCTCATATGCAATAAATGCAAACCCTTTTGATTTACCAGTGCCCTTGTCTCTAACTAGATTAACATCAACAATCTCCCCATATCTGAAAAAAGGTTATTTACATTAGTGGCAAAACAAGATAGAATATATCTAATTTTTAGGAAAACACTGAAACTGATTCACATAATGAAAGATATTAGAACAACATTTGTCCATGATAAGAAATCACACGTGAACAACAGCATATATAACCATCAAGCTTGTTTATAAATAAATTTTTTGTGAGACCAAATCCCAGCACATGTCGCCTAATATTAATTGTGGAAGTATGTATGTCTGAAAAAAGGGTTATTTACCATTCAGTGGCAAAAACAAGATAGAGATTATATCTAATTTTTAGGAAAACACTGAACTGATTCAACATAATGCAAAGATATTAAGAAAACATTTGTCCATGATAAGAAATCAACACGGTGAACAACAGCAATATATATACCATCAAGCTTGTTTATTAAAATAAATTTTTTGTGAGAACCAAATTCCCAGCACATGTCGCCCTAAATATTAATTGTGGAAGTATGATATGAGAACTTAACTTCCCTTCAGCAATACCATAGATTAATTTGTGAGACCAAAAATCCTTTCTTTTTTTTTTTTTTTTTTTTTTTCATTTTTTTTTTTTTTTTTTCACTAACCAATTAAACACATTGAAATGCAAGTTTCTACAATTCCTAAGATACAGTAGAAAGCAAAAGAAAATCAAAAGTCTATAAAATTATTAGCGTTTTGCTCTTAACTATCGCCAGATGCTCCATCCAAGTTTCTATTAGTGTTCTATAAGTTCAAGCAATTAGCTCTCTTTGTTTCTTAGTTTGTAAGATAACTTAACCTAGAGTTTGCAGCCGCTAAACAAGCCCTTTTTGACTCTAAAACAGCATAGAAAATGGAGGAAAAAGGAAAATTGATAATAGAGAATAGAGATGATTACTGAGAAAAGACGGCTAGTAAATCGCCTTCAGTTAGGTCGAAAGGAATGCCACCGACAAAAATGTAAGCAGAATCTTTGTATTTGGCGTGCCATGATGCCTCATCTGTTATCCCTAACTCTGCTTCTCTCGAATTTATGTTCTGTATTCGCTTCACCAGCGTCAATGGGTTCATTTTATGCCTCTTCTTTCACGCTCTCTCTCTTCCAACTTGGATGGCGCGACGCAATCTGCCAGAGGATCACCGGCGGAGCCACTGAGTTTCCTGAGGATGAACGCAAGGGAGAGAGATCGAGCGGCAGTGGTGACGGCGCGGCGCCGCGATGAAGATCCGTCCTGGCCTGGTGGAGTCGCGGTTCGTTGTGGCTGTCTCTCGCCAGTAGCAGAAACGCAGAAGAGAAAGAAGAAGGAAAGAAAGAAAAGAAGAGAAAGAAGAAAGAAGAAGAGGAGGAGATGGCGGCGGCGGCTCTGCGTGCCGGTGATGTCGCCGGTGGACTGACTGGAGGCGCAGAGAATGGGTGAGGAAACTGTTTCAATTTCATCTGTATCGAATTTTAATGTCAGAATAGTTGATATCTATAGTCACGATGCAATAGGTTAGGTCCACTTATTTTTTTTATTGATTTTTAATCTAATCTTCCTAATTGATTTGATTAGAATAATGGAAAATAATGTGAAGCATGCGCTGGATACAGAGGATAGAGGATTCTAAAAGTAGTCTGGGCTGATTCGGTTTCATTCCAGTTCGATTCAGCCCAAATTTCGATTTTTATTTGATTTTTGATTTTTCAGTTGGTTTGAGATTGATTTATCATTGTACGAATTATAAATTTACATTTAAATAATTAACTGCATTTTCAGGCTGTCAATTTATTAAATTTAATTAGAAAATTTTTGAAAATAAAAATTCGGGTTATTTCAAATACTAAACTGATGTAGGTGAATTTGATTTGCTTATCAATTCCACTCTTCCGAGAGTAAATTATTATCTAATTTCTTAATTGTAATGAGTTGTTATCTAAATAAACTCAAATCCATATTATGAATATTAATATAATTTGTAGATCGAAAGCAGTCTACTTCCCACAAAATTAATTTGTATACTAAATATATTCAAATTGTACTTCCTGAAAAATAATTTCTTTAAAATTGTACTTCTTAAAAAGTATGTACTTTACAGGAAATAGACTATTTTAAACCGAACGAGGCCTAAGTGAAAAAAGCCGTAAATGATTAATAAACAAAACTGAGAACTCAATTGATGTTTCTGTTATTCTAAAATTATAAAACACATGGTTACAAGTTACACTCAATCTTCAGTGGCTTTTTTTTTTTTTCTCCCAGAAACCACATATTTCAGATTTTCTGATCCATTACTAATCAGATTGTCTCATCCGAATAATACTCTTCCGCGTTCTTCTGCCTCTGTCAAACAACCATTGCTAAAATAGTCAGAACCCTTTCTCTGAAAAGAATAGTTGGGCAGCCAAAGCTATTGTTTTCTTGTCACCACAAGCGCTGAATCTCTCTTAATAGTATGTACGCTGCTGCAAAACATGCTACAAAATAAGCTTATCGTGTCTAATCATCGATAGAAAGCTTTTGCTTCTTCCAGGCATATGCAGCTTCCAAGATCCTCAGGTTTGGTGCTTGAGTTTCTTCTGGGAATATGTAATCGATATATTCCTCCAACCTGCAAGCAGTTACTTAGTTACACAAATGCTATCAAAGATGATACTTCAATGAAAATTTATTGCGGAACAAGTGAAACGGCATGCAGATGTGGGAAAATAACATCAATTAAGTGCAAAATGTGGATTTTTTTTTTTTTTTTTTTTTTTTTTTTTTTTTTGGAACTATAATAGATCAGGCATAGGATTAATATTTAACCTAACTTATGTAAATCAATGAAGGCCAATGACTTACCCAGCCAGACCATCTTCTGAAGCAATAGGCCTCCTCTTTTTGAGTTTCTTAGGCAGCTTAGGCTGGACTAAGCTAACATCACCTAATTCTCCAAAACTGCTCTCCATGTTCAACCATTCTTCCAAAAGCATTGCGCGTTCCTCCTTTAGTTCAGGCGCTGATGTTCTGAAGTAGTTAATCGCTTTCTCAAATACCCCTAATGAGAAAAATGAAATGTAAGATCTCCAACGACCAAATAATTTACCAATAAGGCAACTACAAAGATAAAACAGATGAGGAAAGCTTACTTCTTGCATTTTGAATACACTTTTTCTTCTGTTCTTCCAAAGAATCTGCACCATCAACAATCTCATCCATGGCAGATGCTTCAAATTTAGCATAACTAACCCAGACCTTCAAATGCTTTGTCCGGTCCAATAGTCTCTCATAAACCAGACCTTCAAATGCTTTGTCCGGTCCAATAGTCTCTCATAAAGTTGTCTAGTTCTTTCATATTCACCTTCGGAGATCTCAAAATCAATATATGCCTGCGGTCAAATGAAAAGAAATCTCACACTTCCAAAATGAAAGTTTATTGTAAAAGAAGCATGGAAAAGATGTCACTTTTTGCGCCTAGTCCTAAGACTCTGAGTATAGGTTGCTAAAATGGTCCTCCACTACTGCAGCATATAAAAATAATATCATATATGATACCTTGCTCAGACCCTGGCATGGCAATTTATCAAAAATCAAGAAGGAGTATGATAATGCTGATAAACTAGTAATTGCTTAGGAAATAATAAGTTACATGTTCTGGGTAGGCCGCTTTACTTAAGTTAAACGGAAATAGCCATATAGAAATTAATAACTGATAAATTATATCATAGACTGCAGTACAAACAAGGGGGCAACCATATTTAATCAAAATCAATGCACTGTGTATGTTGGTTAAGGTTTGGGATTAGGGATGTGGGCAGTGAGCTGTGATGGGAACCATAATGATAATTCCTATATCGGTATCTGTCAGCTAGTTTCAGTCTACAAAATCAACAAGACCACAAAATATAAGTTATAGATGATCTTATGCCTATGCATACATTCCCCATACAGTAAGAAGAAAAATAGAGGGAGCATGCAACATATATTGAATATTAAAGATATAATCACTAGGACAAACCGAGAATCAATAGAAAGCCTAGCATATCACAGTTCAAATATGACAGTGAACCTAGAGACATTGGTAAAAAACAAAGACGCTTGAGCATCAATTAAGAATATTTACCTTCCACAACAACTCTGGCATGTCCAAGGCTGGCTGTGCTATAGCAAGTTCAAAAATTGCTCGTGCTCGGTCAGTTTCAGCCAGAGATCTCTCCAGTTCTGCGTATTTGCTCCAAGCATAACAATTTTCTGGTGTCCACTCTAAATATTTCTCATAAAGCTTTCGGCAACGATCAATATTACCAAGTTGCAGCTCTATTTCGATATATTTCTTAAAGATCTGTTTGTTGTCAAGCCAAGAGAGTGAGAATTGACAACAACCATAAACTGCAATATAATTAATCAACAGTATAGCAGCAATCCAAATTTTACCTTATCTTTGGGAGCTTTGCCAATGGCATTGCCTAAAATTTGCCGAGCACCAGCAAGATTCAACTGCCGAATTTCAAATTGGGCAGCTAGAAGCCAAATCTTTGCAAATGAAAACTTCTTATGAGGAATTAGGTTCAGGCACTCCCTAAAAATATATAATTTGAATCAGAAACCTACAACGTCTATGGAATCTGTCTATCCATGAATACATTATTAAACAAAAAAAAAAAGTACAAGTATATCCATGGGAGAGCATTGCACCACAAGCAAGAGAAGGGAACAAGAAGAAAGAAGATCCCCATCAAACAAAATCAAAGTGAATAAACAACATAAGTACAATTGTATGCAAAATCTAGCAATTACAAGAATTCCTTTCTTAAAATTTCCAGAATATTGCTCAACTGAGTAGACACAATACAAAACAAACAACAGACACTTTAACCAACATTAAGTCTCGCGATGAAACAAACTCCATCCAAGCCTCGCGATGAAACCTGGTGCTACATAGACAATTGCTATAAAGCCCAATACTCGTTTTTAATGATGTTCTTTCTTGTTATATTTCTTTCCTAGCAAATCAAGCTAGTATTGCTAGCAGCATAAATCTTCCTTCTCATCACCCACTCATTATAAACATTCCAATACAGATGATTTTGAAGCCTCATTATCCACCTAACAAGAGTGAGTTAATCCATTATGATCTAATCCACAAGCAAGAGACATCACCCTTCGCAAAATGTATACCTTTTACACCACTAGAAAGATGTCCAAGTTTGACCACTTGAGATGAAATATGACATAATATCCCACCATAAAGATATTAAATTTGACATTATTCCATTTCCACTTAATGGTACAAGTTGACAAGTTACAAATCTTAAAGTTTTTAAAACTTAGATAACGGGTATATCTGAACTATTGATGCAAAATCCACATTCCACGACTTGTCAACTATTTGAGGCATCCTCACCTACCAAAGAAGCTCTCATGTTATGGTACCCCAACAGATTGAAGACAAACTATTCATCAATCAAACAAAGACAAATTGATATATCCAAAGGCTCGATATTAACACAAGTATTAATCTTCCATATTTAACCAGAGAACTACGGAAACTAGAAGATAAAGCAAGACATGGCTGTAGAACTTCCAAGACCAAATTTCAAACTAAAAATAATGTTCAATTGTTAAACAAGGTAAACAACATTGCTGCAGCATACTAATTACAATCACAAAAAATTATAAGAGATAGATTGTTGGACATGGGAATCAGTGGATTTATTTCTGCAGTAAGAAGACTAAGCCAATTGTTCAAAACACTGGAATATTCCCAATTGTAATGAAGGTTGAACAGTTTTTGCAGAAGCACTTGTTAAGAACTATTCACAATAAAGTACATGTAACAAGTCAACAGCTTCACTTAGTTAAACCAAAAGGTTAACTAACATATTCAAAACAGCAAAGCAGGCATACCTATAAACATCCCGTGTTCTCTCAATGTCTCCTGCATCCAGTTCTTCGTAGAGAGCATAATTGATCCTGAATTGCATAAAACAAAGAAACCATCAATATTTAGCCAAATAAACTTTTAGTTATTAACAACACATATGTTAAAATCCACATTCCAAGTCAAACACTTACCACAAGTATATGTATCTCTGCCAATATCTCTTCTCCTCAGCTGGTGGCACATTAGCGATTGCACGCTCATAAACCTCTCTAATCCTCTCCTTATTCCCTACGCTCTCCTCCAATCTAATATAATCAAACCATGAGTCATAATTCAATGGATTCTTCCTCACTTCATCTTCATACTGAAATCTCCTCTTCCCCACTATTGCATCTTCGATTCCCTCTTTATCCCCATATTGCTTCTCAAATGCTACAAATTTCCTATACAAATCCTCTGCCCTACCTTTTGGTATATGATCCAAAGCAAACTTATAGATGCACCTTGCACGCTCTGTCTCCTTACATCGCTCCTCAAACTCAGCAAAAGCCACAAACGATGCACCTTGCACGCTCTGTCTCCTTACATCGCTCCTCAAACTCAGCAAAAGCCACAAACAACTGCTCCGCCTCCTCATCATCAGCCAATTTCTCAACTGCCCTTTCATACACATTCCTAGACCTCGCAACTTCCCCATTCTTCATCTCAAACTTGGCATATCTAATCCATGCACTGACTTTCGGATGACACTGAACGAATCGTTCAAAAATCCCTCTTGCGCGTTCAATTTCATTATACCTAAGCTCAAATTTGATATAAGAGAGCCATCCTTGTTGGTCTGGCATCCAATTGGTCTGGCATCCAACTCATCCATCTTTCAAAGATCTGCCTCGCGCCAGCAACATTGCCAAGCATCTCCTCCATGTGAATGTACTTGTACCATAATTGATCCACACGAGGCAGGAGCGTTACAGCACGGTCCCAAACATTCCTTGCATGATTTATGAACTTGTTTTTCATCTCAATTTCGGCATATTTGAGCCATAGGGTGTGATTCCGGTAATCAACCTCAAGTGCCCGCTCCCAAACTGAGCGAGCTCTATTGAAGTCTTTTTGGGATTCCTCCCACTGAGCGTATTTTATCCATACGCTAACATTCCATCGAACCCGTCTGATTAGGTCTTCAAATTCCTTTCTCTTACGCAGGCGATAATCAGCAAGTTCAGTTGAGTCTGTGATTTTCTGCTTTGGAGGCCTGATTTCAGCTTCCTGGCGTTCCCGTGCCTCACGTAAAATCTGCTCCGCGGTGATTTGAATCGGCGCTGGGGTTTTATTTTTGACCCGCGTTGGCCGAGGAAGCTTCACCTCAGTGTCTTTTCGGGTCAGGTAACCAAGAGATTCACCTCAGTGTCTTTTCGGGTCAGGTAACCAAGAGATGGATCGGCATCCTTAGCAGAAGACATGGTTGCCAACACCTGATCAAAAGAGAAAAGAGAGAAGAGAGAGCTTTATATGCGAAATTTATAGGGTATAAAAACCCAAATCCAAATCATGGTGGAAAGCTTAGTTAAAATAGCCCATCTAGTGAACAAATAACTAATAGCAACTGAGTTTTTCATATTAATGAAAGCTAAATCAAAGAAAATTAATCATACCATGACTGTGACATTGTTTTATTTAAGAAAATTAATTAAAAACCTGGAAAATCATAAGGAATGCGGTAGTAAAAAGTGTTGCACCTATCTGTATAGTTTAGTATTGAAAAAAAAAATAAGGTAGACCTTTTTTTTTTTTTTTTTTATTTTTTTTTGGGCATTCCAGATGAAGAAAATCAAACAAAAAAAACGAACAATAATTAAAGATGTAATGGTATTTGATTCACACCAAGAAATTATAAAAGCTTAAGATATACTGAAATGAAGAGAAGAAAAGAATAGCCAATAAGAAGCATCAGAACTAAATTTGCACCTTATTCCAACAGTAAGCTTTTGGCTTGTTGATTTGAGCTTTTCTGTTGAAATGGACGCAGCTCCGTCAGGTACTGTCTTCGGCGATGGCTCGCTTCGGCGAATGGAGAAGCGAATTGAAAAGGCGGTGGAAAAAGATAGAATTGATGATTATGGAACTCGTTAGGGTTAGAGAGTAGGAGGGAAGGTTAACACAAACCGGAGAAGAGAAGATACATTTAGAGAGGCATGAGGCGTGTTTAATTACTTGAATTTATCCAATTTTGCTTTTTAGGTTTAATTTCTATTTATCACTACTGATTTTTATAGGAAAATTATGATTTTATGTTTTATCATGCAATTTTGTTAAAGAAAATAATAATATAGGATTTCTTGTTATAATTTGTTTCCTTGCAATTGCATGTTTTGGGAAAATATAAATATCATTATTACGATCAAAACAAACAAAAACTTAAAAATCTATAAATCTATAAAAAAAAAGGAGAAAAGTAAAAAAAAAAAAAAAATACTAATCAATCATTCTCTTTATATTTAACTTTAATAAATATATAGATATATCTACATATATATAAAGACGTTGGTAGATACATAAATAGTTATAAATACAAATATCGAACGTAAATATGAATAATATATATAGATAGAAAGTCTAATAAATATAAATATAGATAGGTGGAGAAAATATATAGATATAATATAGACACTGATATATTTACATATACAAACATAAACATATGTATATTACTTTTAAAATTTAGATAAATATTGGAAATAATGTAATAATTGAGATTTTTAGATATTAAAAAATATAGAATGTAAATTAGATAAATATTGGAAATAATGTAATAATTGAGATTTTTAGATATTAAAAAATATAGAATGTAAATTTGTAATAAACATTGAACTTTCAGTATTTTAAAGATACATAATTAATATAATTAGATTTTAAATCATAATTATTATAAATAAATATAGGCCTTTGGGACCTTCTCATTTCCTTTGGGACCTGCTGCATCTTTGAAGGTTAGAAGAAATTCGTTGATCAGCTCCTGGTATACATGCACTGTTAACGTTCGAGAGGGTGACAGTCTTGGTTCGGGTAGAGTTGGACTTGGAGCAGATGATATTGGCTGTGTAACAGAAGTTGTCGAAAGTTCTGACAAAGAAGTTGGGCATTCAGAAGATTGAAGCTGACTGTGGGCCTGCGTTTCACCATCCTGAGTTGTTAAACTTCTCAAAACATCCGGCTGCGACGCATCTTGCTTCTTAAAAATATTAAAACAAATACATACTATTAATCAATGGGCATTTTACTTAAATTTATACTGAGTGAGTATTTATTATTAACTAAAAGGTCAAATCTTGTTCTTCAAAGCTTCAACGATGACTCGTAGCATTAATGAATAGTTTAACTAATTCAAAAGCTTATCTAATTAATTTTATAAATATCATAATAGGCCAATAAAAATAAGTGAAAATAGAAAAAAGAAAAGAAAAAGGAGATAGAGAGAAAGGAAAAGGAGGAACAAGAGAACTCGCATTATCTCAAAATAAATAAATAAATAAATAAACAAGCCAAAAATTATACAGCAACATGCAACAGGTAGTGGTTTCTACTCCCTCACATTTGGAGCCTCGAACTGTCCTTTCTTGGTTGATAGATAATAATGTTGTGATGCCAAGGGCGACAGTACATTACTGTAGCATAAAGGGCAGATATAATTCTTAGCAACTTTGAACTTCATGTTACTTGTAAATACCGCAGACCAGCTGCTAGCATCTTTTTGGAAGATGGAAGGTTTCTGTTAGATAGTTGTTAGATTGTCAGATGCAAATAATACACGATGAAATAACATTCAAGGGTATTTGGGTATTTTCACTTAATTTTAATGGTTCAAAACTTAGAATTAGATGGAGGAATCTTTTAATGAGACAAAAGCAAATGAGAGGGATGCAAATAATCATAATCATCTTCTCTTGACTTCGGCTCAAATTCACCGTCTTCACGCCTTATTGATCTGTTTTCACTGCTCCTTGGATAATCTTCTCTTGATTTTGGCTCAGATTCATTGTTTTCATGCCTTCTCGATCTCTTATCATCTCTCCTATAATAACCTTCCTTTGGCTTTTGCTCAAATTCATCATCTTCATGCCTTCTTGCTCTCTTCCCATCTCTCCAATGATGATCTTCTCTTGGCTTTCGCTCAAACTCATTATCATCATGCCTTCTTAGTCCATTGCCATCCCTCCTATCACTTTGTTTAAGGTGGATCTCTGAGTGCCTTTCATTGATAGATCTTTTATCACTCCTCTTTGGACCCTCAAACTTGTCATGTCCAAATCTTAGGCTATTATCCTGAGGACCCCATCCTGTGTTTGCAGCTCTCTGGAAGCAAAAGAAAGTAAAGTATAAATAGGCACCTCAGACTAATTGAATACAGAATATATTTAACAGTATAATCTGAAGCTTTGCAGAACATTCAAATTCCCATTTAACTTCCAACTTCAGCACAAACCATCTCAACATTATTTTGACAAGAAAATATGTAAACAAAAAATAACTAAAGTAATGAGATAGAATAAACAATATCAAATAGAGAAAAGGTAAGCAAATAGAAAGTAATCATGTGGGAAAGTATCAACAAATGTGAGCCCCACAATGTGAGCCTTATTGAAAAAGCCCCTACTATAGAACAAGCAACATAAATTTTATTTCAAACAATAATCACACATCATAATCGATTACTGTCAATAATGTGAAATGCAAAATTTGAACAAATGAGCACTTCCAACTACAATATTACAATCTGTATCTGTAATAATAAATCAGCATACTTATTATAGTATCCAAATGAGCAGTTTCAAAGCATGGATCATCTCTAGTTATCTGAATAGAAGAAAAATGAGGTACCCAAGAGAAACCTTGAAAGATAGGCAAGTTTAGTTATGTGAATAGAAATAAGCATGAGCCTATACAACACTACGTAAGGTCTATATTGTTTATAAGAGAGAAAATCTCTGAATTCGCACCATAAATTACTAGCAACAAAAAGTGTATAGAGTTTGATACAGCTAACTGATTGCAGAGATCTGGGTGTACATAGGTCAGGCAGGCACATTAGGCAGTTGGAGATGACCTACTAGACCAAAGCATCATCATCTTCTCATTACAAGCTACTGATATGTCATCAAGAGCAATTCCACTTCAGTTTCACCAGTTCATTCGAGTCATGCCAAAAAACGGGAGAGAAATAGGGGGGGGGGGGGGGGGAGTTTCACCAGTTTATCGGGTATGCCATAAAAACGGGAGAGAAAAAATAGGGGGGGGGGGGGGGGGGGGGGGGGGGGGGGGGGGGGGGGGGGGAGGGGGCGGGGGTGGGGGGGGGGGGGAAGTGGAGAATGGCACTGTAAAAAAGATGAATGTGCAGATAGCACATAATGTGGACAAAAATGGCAGAGTTTAATGAGTATGTATAACAAAACCAAAACCGACATGCTGCTTGATGTAACTAGCTGTATTGCATCAGATTCCATTGGTTGGGCAGTTAGACATCCTAGAGGAGATCAAACACACTAATCATTTAAAACATCATCCAATACATATCGGCATTGTGTGGTATGCCAGCAAACAATGATGCAAGAGAGTCTGCTCTGTTCACTGAGCAATACTTATTATTTTCAAAAAGTGCAAATTGTCCAAACTACTGCAACCTGAAGATAAAGAAGATCAATGGTCTGCCACTGTTTTGCAGGAAGAGAGCAATTTAACCAAAGATAAACTTGAAAATGATTCTCTAATTTACATATAATTCATGAATTTGAAAAATAAGGTAAATAAATAATACGGAGATGCTTTGAATCTGTCATGAATTTGTTATTAAGGTTAAATTGCTTCAATTTTGTTTTCATCTTGTTTGTCCACCACACAAGCATAAGCATGATCATAAAAGAACAGTCCAAAAGTAAAAGGGTGTCTAAATAGCCATTTTAATGATCTTTTCTGAATTAATCTACTGGTCTTACTTGCTCATCATGGGAAAATTTGCAGCTAGCTCCCCGAGTACATTCACCTCTTTGGAAGGCACGGCACACACCTCTGGCTTCTCTCTTCTGACGTTCTGTTTCTTCATCCTCCTCTTCTTTCTTCTTGTAGTTACTAACATGATCAATCCTTACAATCCGACCAGCAACCTGTGCTCCATTCAGATTATCTGAAGAAAAATCGAAGCATATGTATTACAAACAAGTAATTTGGTAACTCTAATCATTATGGAGCCACAGTAGAAAAAGAGAACCAACCTACAGCAAGATTTGTACTTCTTTGATCCTCATATGCAATAAATGCAAACCCTTTTGATTTACCAGTGCCCTTGTCTCTAACTAGATTAACATCAACAATCTCCCCATATCTGAAAAAAGGTTATTTACATTAGTGGCAAAACAAGATAGAATATATCTAATTTTTAGGAAAACACTGAAACTGATTCACATAATGAAAGATATTAGAACAACATTTGTCCATGATAAGAAATCACACGTGAACAACAGCATATATAACCATCAAGCTTGTTTATAAATAAATTTTTTGTGAGACCAAATCCCAGCACATGTCGCCTAATATTAATTGTGGAAGTATGTATGGACACTTACTTCCTTACACTTACCTAGACTTCCCTCTTAACATTTTCCTTTCTTTTTTTTTTTTTTTTTTCACTAACCAATTAAACACATTGAAATGCAAGTTTCTACAATTCCTAAGATACAGTAGAAAGCAAAAGAAATTCAAAAGTCCTATAAAATTATTAGCGTTTTGCTCTTAACTATTGCCAGATGCTCCATCGAAGTTTCTATTAGTGTTCTATAAGTTCAAGCAATTAGCTCTCTTTGTTCCTTAGCTTGTAAGATAACTTAACCTAGAGTTTGCAGCTGCTAAACAAGCCCTTTTTGACTCTAAAACAGCACAGAAATGGAGGAAAAAGGAAAATTGATAATAGAGAATAGAGATGATTACTGAGAAAAGACGGCTAGTAAATCGCCTTCAGTTAGGTCGAAAGAAATGGAGGAAAAAGGAAAATTGATAATAGAGAATAGAGATGATTACTGAGAAAAGACGGCTAGTAAATCGCCTTCAGTTAGGTCGAAAGGAATGCCACCAACAAAAAAGTAAGCAGAATCTTTGTATTTGGCGTGCCATGATGCCTCATCTGTTATCCCTAACTCTGCTTCTCTCGAATTTATGTTCTGTATTCGCTTCACCAGCGTCAATGGGTTCATTTTATGCCTCTTCTTTCACGCTCTCTCTCTTCCTACTTAGATGATTGAATCATAAAAACTGGTTTAGGCCCTAAAGGACACGGTGTGTTTGGGAAGCGGGGAAGACAGAGAAAAACGAAAGGGAAACGGATAACTTTGATATTAAACGACACGGTGTGTTTTGGAATCACCAGTTTGACGCGACGATGAGCGGCGACAGTTGGTAGGGTACAGCGTCAACGAGCTGTAGCGGTGGCTGGGCGCCGCGGCGATGAGATGGGGCTGGGGCTACGGCTAGGGATGGGGCGAGTCTGTGATATTGATACACGTGCGAGAGAAAGCTCGTATGAGATATTTTTCCTTTCAATTCGTTGCTGGTATTTATATTAAAGCAGATGCAGTTCTTCCGAGTTTAGAAATCCGTTTCATTATCCGTTCCTAATCTATTTCTAATTTCTGAATACAATTGTACCAAAATCGCTGGCAAAATCACTCTGGGTAATTTGACAATCCTACCCTTATTTGCTTGAGATAGTTGCATCACGATCTCTGAGTCTGACTCTTAAGTACCACTTGCACTTCGGGTTTTGAAAAATAAATGGCGGTGAGTCTTGGGCTTATGGGTTGTCTCTGGCCCATTATTCCGTATATTTATTTCCTTCAAGGTTTTCATTTTAATTTATTTTTCCATCTTGAAATATATTGGATGGATTTTTTTTCAGACTTATTGTAATTATTTAACGATAATTTTCAGAATTATATTTTACTTTCACTTAAAAATGAAAATATATAACAAATAATAAAAGAAAACTCTATTCAAAATTTATAAGAAATACATATATCAAAATTCGACGAACTTTTATAAAAAGTTAAAAGAACGTGATTCAATCCTACATATAATTTTCAAATTATATTTTCTTAGGTATTTTTTTTCGGTACAATATTATATTTTTATATATTTATTGATAAAATTCATTCCAAATCGTTATGAGTCAACTTTATTTGTTAACTCTATTTTCAAATTGTTTTTTATCGATTTCAAATTCGCAACGATTTCATACATTTATAAATTTATTTTTGAATTGTGTTTATTATTTTTTGAGTTTGAATATATAAATAAATTATATTTTATAATAAAATTTTAGATTATTTATTGTAATGTTTGGGTTTATAATTTTATTTATTATGAATTTTACAATAATATTATAAAAATTAATTACATTAAAGAATTCTATCAATTTATAATACACCAATAAATGTTTTGAAAATATAATTATATAATATTAATATAAACATATAAAAAGGAATATATTATAAATAAAAATGTAGAACGTGGAATGTTAATATATTTATAATAAAAAAAACTGCAACAAAATTCCAACAAATGTAAGAAAAAAAAATGTAAAAAGAAAATATATTATAGATAAAAATGTAAAATGCAACTATGGAAGCTCGAACACGATGAGCTGTGTAAAATCACAAGAAGCCATCATGCCATCAAACTACCATTCAACTTATATAAACTTTTACCAACCCTCCAGTCCCTCTTCCTCCTCAGTGCACGTGTGGTCTATTAATAGAGCTGATAATACTGCCTATTTTTCCATAAATACTATTGACATTGACATGTGGCAAAAACTCGTATGTATGGGTCATAAGCAATAAATTCTTAGAAAAGAAAAAAAAACCGCTCGAGCTTATTCGATAAACTTGATGAATTAAGTCAAAACTAATGTTTTGGATTCGTTTAAGAGTTGAGTTTGAACTCGGCTCAATGGCTTACAAAGAGTTCATTTAATAAAAAAAATGAGCTTAAATTTGATTTCAACTGACGAGCTAGCTCACTAAAAGTCTATATTTCTAAATGCCTATATATTTATTTTAAAAGTTCGCTCTAGTTTTATATTATAAAGGTCTCTACCTACTAATAATTCCTATTTCCCTTTCATCTAGATGTGGATTGCTTTTCATTTTTTTTTTTTTTTTAATTTATCTTGCTCTCTTTTCATCACTAAAAAGAAACTCTATCCGTCACATATAAATAATCACATCTCATCTATGCTTAATATCTCTATCTTAGTCACCATAATCTCAAAAGAATCCAGTGACCACATATTTTAGCCTAATTTCAATTCAAAATTGCCCTTAAGCGTGTATGCTTAATCTTGGAGTTATTCCAACTCCTCAGACCATTCTATCAAACGCTTTTGATGATTAATTTTCTCGTTTCCATGTGTAATTCAATTTATTTTTGTGTCTCGCATTCCACTACCATAGCTAGTCTTATTATCTTAAAAGTCTGCCAATGGCTTTGCTTTACTTGTCTTCTTCGGACAACTTAATCAGATCGGAATATCACACTCGATGTACTAGTTGAGAATCAAATTTATTTTGTCGTTAAATTTCATAAAAAGTGCCTGTTTAAAAACTAAATCAAGCTTTTTCATTCTTTTTTAGTACTCGGAATAAAACTCAACAAGTCAAGATACAATATAGGATTTATTGTTATAATTTGCTTCCTTGCAATTGCATGTTTTGGGAAAATATAAATATCATTATTACAATCAAAACAAACAAAAACTTAAAAATCTATAAAAAGGAGAAAAGTAAAAAAAAAAAAAAAACTAATCAATCATTCTCTTTATATTTAATTTTAATAAATATATAGATATATCTACATATATAAAGACATTGGTAAATACATAAATAGTTATAAATACAAATATCGAATGTAAATATGAACAATATATATAGATAGAAAGTCTAATAAATATAAATATAGATAGACATATATAGAGATATAAATATAGATAGGTAGAGAAAATATATAGATATAATATAGACACTGAGATATTTACATATACAAACATAAACATATTAATAGATATAAATATAGACACTGAAGATATTTATCATATACAAACTAACATATAATATATTAGTATTGAAATTTAGATAAATAATATTAGGAAAATAAATGTATATCATGAAGGATTTTTAGAATTGAAAAATATAAGAATGTTAAAATTAGTAATCAAACATTGAAATATAGATAGACATATATAGAGATATAAATATAGATAGGTAGAGAAAATATATAGATATAATATAGACACTGAGATATTTACATATACAAACATAAACATATATATATTAGTTTTAAAATTTAGATAAATATTGGAAATAATGTAATATTTGAGATTTTAGATATTGAAAAATATAGAATGTAAATTAGTAATAAACATTGAACTTTCAGTATTTTAATGATACATAATTAATATAATTAGATTTTAAAATCATAATTATTATAAATAAATATAAGTTTCCAAATAAAAAAATACAGAAAATAAAGAAAAAATTCAAAACTTTTAAAAGAAAGAAAAATAAAATATTGTTATAATATAATGGAAAAATAGGGAGAGAATATGAAAGAATAGAGAGTAAAATATGAGAGAATACGAGAGTGTATTTATTATTGATGATAAGCCACATATATATAGTTATATAAGTGAAACTTAATAAAGTCCTATATTCGTAATAATTAATAATATAAATTTCTAGCCCATATACCACATTCACTTATTTTATAACAAAAATTAAACAAATGCAGAGCCAAAATTTCAACCAAATCAGAATATTTCATTTTTAAATATTTTTTATCGACATCAAATTATTTACCGTTTTTAAAATATATTATGTCATTTCACCTCATTCAAAATTTATTCGTTTAAACAACCTTCTAATCAAACGAAAATGTATTTTGACACTGGAGTAAATTTGAAAATGGAGCCGGTTCAGTTTTACCTAGAAAATTGAAAACTAAAAATACAGAAGATTGAAAATTGAAATCGAAATTAAAAAAATTAATAATTAAACAAAAACCGAAAACAATTCGTCCAAAACAATACACGGATAGTCAACTCAAGAATATTTTGGCTAGAACGTCTTTGATTGTTTGGCGGTGTTTTATTTCATTTTATTTTTTTATATTATCCAGGTGGAGTAATCAGGTGAATCCAAATCTACAAACGACGTCGGAGGAGTTGAAAAAACCAAAGGAGCGGGAACGAGCAAGCACCGCCCTTTGCCCCTTTCATTTTCATTTCCCACTCCAATCTAAAAGTCTAAATCCCGATAAAGCTACAGCCTAACACTTAGTGTGGGCCCCTGTCTTAGCTGGCCGACAAAGCAAAGCCAAGCGATAATGCAAAGCATGCTCTAATTTTCTTCAATCTTCTACTTTCGGTTACCATTACCATTTGCAAGCAAATCAATCAAATTAAGCATTGCTTTCTCTTTCTAATTTTCTTAATTATCTTCAGAACTCCAATTGTTACTGATAAGGTGAGACTTTGCTTGTTCAGTTCCTCTTTCATGGCGTTTGACTGTGTTCCGCTATCAACTACGGTCTGATATTTTTTCATTTTTGGAGTGCAGAAGATATTTGTAAGACCGATGAAAGATAATGGCGCTTGATACTAAAGATATTGATTCGTTCTTCCATGGCGCAGGAGCAAAACCGTATCCTTTGCATTTTTTTTTCTTTTTGAGTTTGTGCTACCATGGAAGCTGTTTTTAGCTCTGCTGTAAGCATACTGTGACTTCGTTTTCCTTTTATCGGTTTTGCGTTTAGCGGTTTGGAGATCTGGTGCGTGGAGAATCTACGGTTGATTCCACTTCCGAAATCCTTGCATGGGAAGTTCTATTCTGGAAATGCTTATATAGTGTTGAATGTGGGTTCTACTTCTGAAATATTTTATTTGCCATTTCTTCTTCATTGTCGAGTTAATTTCACGCGTAGTTATACTTGTTTTGTAGCGTATGGACTTCCTTTTGTTCTCTATTTGAATATGAATTGAGAGCTTGACCTTATTATTTGTTTATTTTGAACAGACCGTTTTGCTCAAAAATGGAGCTCCTCGGCACGACGTACATTACTGGATAGGAAAAGATGCGAATGAGGTTTTTGTATTATCTTTTCAACTTATATAGTGCTTTTCTGCATTTTCAATCACTGTGTTTTAGAGTGTTAGAAAGTTAAGTGGCATGTTTTGTTCCCTTCGGAATGAAAATTTATGCCTCCTGCGAATTCCCCATTCCGTGTTCATTTTTTGAGATCATTGAATTTAACTTTATGATAATTTAAAAATTCAAGTTATTCTACAATAACATGATATAAAGATATTTGAATTCCCTATGTAGAATATATGAAACAAGAAAAAGATCCTATTTCAAAGCATTTCCATTTCCAGACTAAACTAAATGTGGCCAAAGATGATTGTAAGTAGATGTAAGAGAATGATTTTGCAACTAGCCAACCAATCACATAATTACAAGATTATTATTAAAGAAATGTAGGTGAATTGTCTTGAATTTATTTCCATTTATTTGAAAATAAGGAGGAAAGGAAAGCATATGGTGAGGTTGAGCTCCAATGTATTTGTGGCTCACGTCAATTTATTATTGTTTAGCTACAATAATGCTTTGTTTGGATGGAGAGGATGTAAAATGAGAGAGTAAAATGGTACTATTCATTTTACTTATTTTACACTCTTTGTTTGGTTTGGAGGGAATAAGAGAGTGTGAGTAAAATAAATTTATTTTATTTTAGTTGCACCTTTATTGTTTTATTTTCCTCCCATTTTGGAGAGTAAATTGGAGGAAGTAAAATAAAGAATGTTTTATGTCCACTCATAATTTTACCTCCTTCCCAAACAAGGTATTTTGCAAAACCCAACAAATTTTCACTTGTTATTTTACACCCCTCCCTGTTTTTACCCAACCAAACAAGCTATAAGTTTTTAACCAAAGGAGATTGATAAACTGTTAAGAATAGCTGTTGACGGTTTTGCATTTTTAAATTGTAATACTTACAAGTTGGTATATCTGATGTAAGACAACCACTGTATGTGAACAAAAATTTTGAAATTTTGATAGTTTGTATTGTTAGAGGACATTCTAAAGTTGCAAACTGGTTTTTTCAGGAGGATTCATCCTTGGCATCAGACAAAGCACTTGAATTAGATTCAGCTTTAGGGTCCTGTACCGTGCAATATAGGGAAGTTCAGGGCCAAGAAACAGAGAAGTTCTTGTCATACTTCAAACCTTGCATTATACCTGCCGAAGGAGTATATTTGTCACAGCATGGGCACTTGGATGACCAATCATACAGAGTTAGCTTGCTAAGATGCAAGGGCGATCATGTTGTTTCTGTGAAAGAAGTAAGCTGTCTTTGAAGGTTCAACAATGGCAACTATCATGCTTGTGGAAATTGATTTCTTACCTATCACTTGAACTTTATTGAGACAAATGCTGGCATGCTGATGTTCAATGTCATTTTATTATCTAGTCTTTGGAAAATTTGGGTTTGTGAATAATCATTGTATAGCTAATATTTATCTTTGCCTGTCCCGTGCGTGTCTTTTACATATCGTTGACAATGTATACTGCTGAATATATTGACATGAACCAACTTCCATATAGACAATGATTCCAAAACCTGCATTTCTCGTCTTGATGCTGAACTTCTTTTAATTTTCTTTATTAAAAAATATGCATGAGTTCTTGTTCTCTAAGCCTGGTTAGAGAGAGTTGGGAGTATGATTTTTAAGATGTATAATGTGTTTCAGGTCTCTTTTTCTCGGTCATCTTTGAATCATAACGATGTATTCATACTTGACACCGCATCAAAAATTTTCCTCTTCAGTGGATGCAACTCTACCATACAAGAAAGAGCTAAAGCTTTGGAGGTTGTTCAGTATGTCAAAGAAAACAAACATGGCAGATTATGTGAGGTGGCAGTTATAGGTTAGAAATTCCCCTCATATTTCTACTTTCCCTCCCTCCCGCTCTCCTCAATGACATTAAATGAGGGAAATTGCCATTAATTGCTTTGCAGAGGATGGAAAATTTGTTGGTGATTCTGATGTTGGTGAATTTTGGAGTTTGTTTGGTGGTTATGCACCCATTCCAAGGGATTTGCCATCTGATGCTCTGGAGGAATCTAATACTCCACCTATACAACTATTTTGGTGAGGTTTTTTTTTTTTTTTTTTTTTTTTTTTTTTTTTTTTTTTTTTTTTTTTTTTTTTTTATGGAGTTTTATGGTATTGGTGGTTATGACAACCATATTCAAGGGATTTGTTCATATGCTGATGCTGCTGGAGGATCTAATATACACCTATACAATAATTTTGGTGAGGTTTTTCTATTTTTTTTTTTTTTTATTTATTTTTTTTATTTTTTTTTTTTTTTTTTTTTTTTATATTTTTTTTTTTTACTTTTCTTAGTAAAGAGTTTTTTTTTTTTTTTTTTTTTTTTTTTTTTTTTTTTTTTTTTTTTTTTTTTTTTACCTTTCTTAGTAGATTTGCTAATTTGAACTTTTGTCTATTCTTGGTCTGGTAAGCATGTTTAATATCACGAAAAATCCCTGCATACTCAATTAGGCTTGGATGACTAATGCTAAAGTCATCTTGCACACAGGTCAGCTAAAGGATGCACTGCACCTATTATATTCCAATATCTACAATGGCTTCTTTTTGTTCCTAACTTGCCCAAGTTCATTGATCATTAAATTTTTTCGAATTTTGAGGGATTTCTCAAGTTGTGCATACATCTCTTTTTGTCTGTGTTAGCTAGCATCTATGTGTTTTTTCTATCCTCATGTTGGTATTACGTTCAAATATCACCATATAATTTTTCTCCAGAAATGCTAAAGATTCTCTTATCAACAGGATAACATTACAAGGTAAACTATGTCCATGTGAAGGTAATTCATTAAACAAAGAAATGCTCGACTCAAATAAGTGCTATATGCTGGATTGTGGTGCTGAAAGTTTTGTATGGAGGGGTCGAAACACTTCAGTTACAGAACGGAAGACGTCAATTTCAGCCACTGAAGTAAGAAAAGCTTTCTTCACCATCATCTTTCTTGTATGTCTCTTTCCAAACCACTTCTTCCTCTGTACTTGCAGTTGGGAAGTATGTAATTTGTACTAGGGATGTTGTGATTAGGAAGGAAATTGGTGCAGTCATCTCAGGATATCAAACCTAGATTTTGGTTTAGATGTTAATTGCTAAAAGGATATCATAAAAATATGCCATAAATTCTTCATGCAACCAAGTAAATGGGCTACATTTAGGGTTTGAATTTGTAGTTTCTATTAAGTTTAGTGAAAAATGTAATGGAGCAAGCCTAGGGACGCAATCTGTCCTGCGCAAAATACAAGGGAGCAAATATATCTAGTTTTTTGAGGTTAAGTGGATGTGCCTGTTATTGCTTATATGGTCCAAGTTCAAATATAGTTTTTGCGTGTCCAGTACTTTGATGAAATGATAACTTTACTTTTGTTGAGGACAAGTTGTAAATAGAGTTCTGTTATGAGTTAGATTCCTAATAAGTTTATAGTATTTTGTAAATGTATATATATGTGACCCTACCGATGAAAAAAAATACACAATAATATTTTTTCCACATTGAATTACATGGTATCAGAGCCTTTGGCTTGTTAGATTTTATTTTTCTCGTTTGCATTGAATATTCCGGTGATCTCTCATCGCTATTAGTCCTGGTGACCACTCTAGGGTCATTGTTTTGTCTCACCGCCTACCCCAAGGGCTTCTCCAGTTGCCGACCAGTGTTTCCTCAAAATCTAATCACCGGATTCCTTGCGCGTGGGCCTCACGTGCTTGATTTATTTTCTGCTATAGTACCACTCGTCGGCGCGTGGCGGCGTCCAGCTGTTTCTGGCGATCGGAATTTGTTCTCTGACTTCGACTTTAGGTCAGCAGTTTACTTAGGCGGTCGTTTTTCCTATCCGACGAAGTTTTGGTAGGGGCATTCTCAGTTTTGTCAAAATTACTTTGGCGTTTCAGGTTACTACTGTTCTTTTTTGCCCGTGTTTGCGTTGAAAGGTCGGATTAAGTTGGATTCATACTATTCTTTTAGTGCGTCTGTTTCTGAGTTGCTGGTAGGATGTTTAGTTTTTATTAATAATGGGTACTGAACCTAAAGATACTAAAGCTACTATTACTGAATTGATCCTAGCAATGAATAAAATCACAGAACATAAATTGAAGGGAACTAATTATTTAGATTGGAGTAAGACAGGGTGGGGACCCCCCCCGGGGTAGCACCCATATAGAGTAGAAGGCGCCAAAGTTTGCGGTAGCGATACTAGATCAAAGGAGGCGGGGCCAGAGGGGGACTACCTTTCCATGCCCCCCGGCCGGGGTCCACGGGGTCTATCCGCGGGGTGGGGTCCGTCTTTGTGTACACTGGGCCCTGTCAGGGGGCCTGGGGTGCTGCGCCTCTGATAGAAGACACTAACCCTGGGCCCCCCCGGCCAGTTTGTGAAGTATGGTGAAAAATATTTAACCAGCCCCAATGGCTGCGAGCGCGTTGTTAATTCGGATATATTTGAAAAAATCTGAGAAAGAGTACAAGAGTCAACAGAAATAAGTTCAAGAAATATACGGTGGTTTAAGTGCCAGGTTTCAAATGTTTAAGGGAGTTTAAAAGTAAGACATAATTAGACACCAAGGAGTTATTGGAACTAAAAAATGGGACTTACAAATTGAGAGAACTGCCAGTTGTCCCCATTAAGCGGTATACCAATGTCCCCCAGCAGAAGAAGGCAAATTGGGGGCCACCGAACATTAGTGTAAATCTTGTGGTTTTGCCGGGAGCGCGGGGCGCGGGGGGGGAGGCTGCCGGGGGCCGGTCGGCGGGCGTCGCGGCCTAGGGGCTTTTAAGGGTGGCGGTACGCTGATCGCCGTGTATCCTGTTTTTGCGCCTGGCAACAGTTGGCGGCCGTCCGTCCGACGCGGAGGTCGGGGGGGGCGCGGCCGCGGGCAGGGGGCCGGGGGGGGCGCAGTAGGGGGGGCCCGGGTGTTGTATTCTGTTTTTTGGGTTATGGTAGTTTTGGGGCCGGGGACAGCCGGAGGGGGCCCCTCCACGTGCTTGCTTTATTTTCTCTCATAGTCCACTGCGTCGGCGCGTGCGGCGTCCCAGCTGTTTCTGGGGATCGCCTTTGTTATCTGACTTCGAACTTTACGTCGGCCACGTTTCCTTCGGCGTGCTTTTTCCTATCCGGCGTTTTGTCGGGCCTTCTCCGTTTTGTCCCACTTAACTTTGGCGTTTCCGGTTCACCACCTGTTTTTTTTTGCCCGTGTTTTGCGTTGCACCGGTCGCTTACAGTTGGATTTCATACCTTTTTTTCGTTGCGTCTGTTCTGCGTTGCTGTCGGCTGTTTTGTTTTTTCTTAATTGGGTCCTGCACCTCACGCTACTCCAGCTCTCTTACTGCCTTGATCCTCGCACTGTGCTACCATCACACACCGCCCTCATTGAGGGACTCTTATTTGCTTGGACAGTGCACGCTTCGCACATTTCTTTGCAGGGTGTTGACCCCATGTCCATCTATTGATGATCCACCAACTTGGTGACCTTAAGGCCAAGTTTGGCTCAGGGCGCGTACGTTATTTCTCTAGATTCGCATCATTCCTATTGATCGTGAGTGGTTGGTTATTATCATTGTGATTTGTTAGACACCATGGACATATTTGATTTCTTGCTGCTCAGGGCACGGTATTTGTCTTGTACTGCTCCGAGGTTTGCCACTGAATTTTATGGACCGTTGCGCTGCCCTTCCGCTTATTTCATGATTTCCGCGTTTGCGGATTTTCATGTTTTATTGCCTTTATTAGCCCCGGGTGTTAGGTTCAGTCACACTCACGCACTCAGGCTGTGTGAGTTTTCTGCAGGTCTTTCTCCGGTTTTACACCTGCCACATGTGGCTTCTTTCCGACAGTGGGGGGGCCACCCCCCCCCTTTATTCTTTTTTTTATTATTCCCCCATCTTTTCCCTGGGCACCACCGACCCTTTTTTTTTTTTGGTGATTACTGGTACCTACAGGCTCTCATAACTTCCCTTACTGCTATGCCTTTGTGAGTCGTATCAGGTTGCTAGGTAGCCAGGAGAGGCAGAGACATACTGTAGTCTGGAGCACCTTATCGGGCAGGCGAGCATTCATTTCTGCCTTATTTGCCCACTGACACTTGGTCAACCTATGGGTATTGCAGCCTGCTTCATCGCCACACGGGCACTACTTGGCTCTCACGATTCTGCCGTTGCTTTTTTCTGACTCTGTCTTCTGCTGCGCTTGTGGCTGGCTTTTGTACTACCGTTCTTTAAGTCTATTGATTTCCTAATTGCTGCTCGCTAGCCGAAATTCAGGTCTCTATCCAATTCTTAATGTCTAAATCTATCAGAAGTGTTCAATTTGATTTTGGTTGCACGATCAACATGAAATGTAAAACCTAGTCTCTAACCCTAGTCTCTTATCCTCATTAAAAGAACCTGAACAATTTAATTGTCATGTTACTCTAGCTGATGGGTCCACATCTTCTGTCAAGTGTATTGGCACGCCAATCCCATCCCATCTCTTCCATTGTCTTCTGTTTTTTGTTTGCTTCGTTGTTCATTTAATCTATTGTCTGTTAGCAAAATTATTCATATACTGAATTGTTGTGTTAAATTTTGTCTTACCTATTGTGCGTTTTAGGATCTTTTGACGAAGCAGATTATTGGTAGACGACTTGAGTATTTATCTTCTGGATGAACAAGTTTCATTATCTCTGGCTTGTGCTGGTGCTCTATCTCCTCTTGAGGTTCATTGTCATTTGAGCCATCCTTCATTGTCTACTTTAAAGAAGTTGTATCTGCAATTTCAGTCTTTATCAATTTTAGAATGTGAATCTTGTCAATTTGCTAAACTTCATCGTTTACCTTTAGTTCCTCGAGTCAATAAACAAGTTTCATCCCTTTTTGTGTTAGTTCATTCTGATGTTCCGGGTAGATGTTCTGTTATTTCTAAAATTGGCTTTAGGTATTTTGTAACTTTTGTGGATGATTATTCTCGTATTACTTGGTTATTTTGAATGAAAACTCGTTCTGAGACATTCTCTATTTTCTGTTCCTTTTGTTCCGAGATTAAAACTCAATGCCTCTGTTCGCATTTTGCAAAGTGATAATGTTAAAAAATATCTATCTAGTTCCTTCCAATCTTATTTTTCATAGAATGATATTCTTCATCAAATATCTTGTGTTGATACTCTTTCTCAAAATAGGGTTGCAGAAAGAAAAATTGACATTTTCTTGAGGTTGTTAGGGCACTTCTATTCCAAATGAAGGTCCCTAAATATTTTTGGGCTGATGCTGTTTCTACTGCATGTTCTTTGATTAATCGCATGCCTTCTTCTGTGCTCTTTGATTAATCGCATGCCTTCTTCTGTGCTTAATGGTCCAATTCCTTATAGTGTCTTGTTTCCTTCTAAGCTTTTATTTCCTATTGAACCTCATATTTTTGGTTGTAATTGTTTTGTTCGTGGTGTACGTCCATAGGTTTCCAAATTATATCCAAAGTCTATTCGTTGCGTTTTCCTTAGGTATTCTCAACATCACAAGGGGTATTGTTGTTTCTCTCCCGATCTTGATCGTTATCTTGTTTCTGTAGATGTCACATTTTTTGAGAATACTCAATTTTTTCTTCTTCTATATATAAGAGTAAGGGGGAGGGGATGATGAGCTTTGTCAGAATACTCATTCGAATGTTTAAGATGTGGGAAAGAGCTTGAGCCTGAGAGAAAGAAGTTACATAGTTTCTCTACGAAGGAAGAGCAAGCAATCTTATTTTCGGCATAACAACTTTTGTGGGAAGGGTATATGATATGGGAAGCGATTCCACTCCCCCACACACCCGAGGGGAAAGGTCAATGCTTTTTTAGTTCCATAAATGGATCCATTTAAGAAGCTGTGAACTGAACGTGGTCAGCATTAGATTCATTAAAGTAGGATTGTATACCTCTTAGAGACTAGGAACTCTGTTCACGACATAGTTCGATTGACCGAGTGTTCGCTTTTTTTCGTGGTTCCCATGGTGTGACCATGTTTTTGGTGGGTAGAGATGGAGAGGAGGAGGGGTTCCTTACTCCCTTACCGGGAATGCACCCAAAGGCGTTCAAACCTAGTTGACTTGGCAGATGGGAATCATAGCGTAGTAAAGTATCCTGGGTGCCTCTACTCTATCCAGAAACTTTCTAGCCTTCCTACTCCTATTCCTATTCCTGAACTTGCACTTGCTCCTGCTACAGCGTCTACTGGTCCTATTCCTGCTCCTGCTCGCCCTCGTTTTGAACAGGTTTATTCCAGAAGACCAGGAACTCTTGACTCACTTCCCTCACTTGCCGTTTCAACAGAAGATCTGGTTCCCTCTACTCAACTTGAGCCTGTGTCATCCACTCCTCAGTTAGATCTTGACCTTCCCATTGCTCTTTGAAAAGGTGCCTTTGAAAAGTAAACTCCAAGTGTACTATCCTATTTCTTCTTTTGTCAGTTATGATCAATCTTTCTTCTTCATCAATCAGTGTTTTGTAAGTAACTCTGTTTCTACCCTTAAAACTGTTGTTCAATCTTTATCCCATCCTGGTTGGTGTGCAGCAATGAAAGAGGAGATGGCTGCCTTAGATACTAATGGTACTTAGGATCTTGTGCCTCTCTCGGCAGGTAAGAAAGCTATTGGTTGTAAGTGGGTTTTCATCGTTAAAGTGAATCCTGATGGGCCTGTTGCTCGTCTCAAGGCTCGTTTAGGTGCTAAGGGTTATTCTCAGATTTATGGCCTTGATTAGTCTGATACTCTTTCTCCTGTAGCCAAATTGTCTTTTGTTCATTTGGTTATTTCTTTAACAGCTACTTTTGACTGGCCTTTACATCAGCTGGTTGTTAAGAATGCCTTTCTTCATGGGGATGTTCAGGAGGAAGTTTACATGGAGCAACTTACATGCGAAGCAACTCTTGTGTGTAACTTGTGTAAACTTTGCATGTGGGTTTGGTAGATTTTGCAAGTGTGGTACACCAATTTGGGCATGAGAAGAGTAACTTCTGATCATTTTGTATTATTTTAGAAGTACTAAGACTGGTTTTCATTTTTACTTGCGCGGTTTTATGTTGATGACATTGTTTATTTACAGGGAGTGATTCAAGCCGCATTGCTCACTCAAGCATTTCTCACTAGACTCAGTTCAAGAAAAAAAATTAGGATGTTGAAAGTATTTTTTGGGTATTGAGTGTCCTAGAGGTGTAAGTAAGAGAGGCATCTTCTTATCTCAAAGGAAGTATGTCCTTGACTTACCGAAGGAAACTGGAAAGTTGGGTGCCAAGCCATGCAGTGCTCCAATGACTCCTAATTTGCAACTTTTAATTTGATGGTGAGCTATTTGACGATCTTGAGATGTATAGAAGATTGGTGGGCAAACTGAATTATCTTACGGTGATACGTCCAAATATTACATACTCTGTGAGCATCTTAAGCCAGTTTATGTCTTCTCCTACTGTTATCCATTGGGAAGCTTTGTGATAGATTTTGTGCTACTTAAAAGGTAATCCAGGTCGTAGCCTCCTTTATAGTAATCATAGGCATTTGGACATTGAGTGTTTTTTAGATGCGGATTGGGCAAGTTCGAAGGTTGATAGAAAATCAACTTCAGGATATTGTGTCTTTGTGGGATACTTTGTGGGGTGGAGGAAACTTTGATATCATGGGAACGAGCAAGAAACAAACATGTAGTCTCACGTCGATCTGTGCGGAATAAGAATACTCGAGGGCATATGGCACACATCTACTTGTGAAATTAATCTGGATTCTCAGTTTGTTAGAGCGAAACTTGGTTCAGAGGATCCGTCCTTTGCCTGCATAATTTCATAGTGTATAATCTAGCCTGTGTGCTCTTCACATTGCATCAGATTCCGGTATTTCCAACTTTGAACGAAACAAAACATATCGAGATACGTCTTCATGCTGAAAAGATATACAATATGTATGCCTTAATTTGGATTCGTCAGTTGTTAGAGGAAATTGGTTTCAAATCGTCCTTGCCTGCAAAGTTATAGTGTGATAATCTAGCTGCTCTTCACATTGCATCAGATCCGGTATTCCATGAACGAACAAAACATATCGAGATTGATCGTCATTTCATTTGTGAAAAGATACAGCAGGTTGTTCTCTCTACAGGACACGTTAAAATAATTGAACAGTTAGGAGATATTTTTATAAAAGCATTAAATGAACCTCGAGTTAACTATCTTTGTAACAGTTAGGAGATATATATGTGACCCTATTGATGAAAAAAAAATACACAATAATATTTTTCCCACATTGAATTACAACTTGAAACTAAGTTCATTCAACTTTTTGATAATTCCTTAACCTACTAGGCAGATCATAGACGTTAATTGGTTGGAGTTCCTGGCAATTATACCATAATTAAGTATTAGCATTTTGAAGTCTAAATTTATACCACAAAATAGGAATGCATGAAGTATGAGGAGAAAGCATTATCCAGATATGGAACGTTGTTTCTATCAATTAAATAATGCATGCCATATCAATTCTCAAAGACATTGTTCCTAACCTCATTATCGGCTAATGTTTTACAGGATTTTCTGAGAAGTCAGAGCAGATCTACAACAACCCATTTAACATTTCTCACTGAAGGGTTTGAAACATCCGTATTTAGGTCATATTTTGAGAGTTGGCCTCGAGTGGAGCCTAAGTTGTATGAAGAAGGTCGAGGAAAAGTAGCAGGTTCGTCCCTGCAGCAAAGTTAGAGACAGATTGAAACAAAAGAGAAAAATTAGCACTTAGAAGAATTAGTTTAGTACTTGGTTGGTGAATCTTGTTTCCTGTAATGGTCTTGACCTTCACTTCAGCTTCTTTTCCAATTTTCAGCAATATTTAAGCATCAGGGTTATGATGTGGAGGAGCTTCCTGATGAAGAAGACTGCCAGCCCTATATAAATTGCGAAGGCAAACTAAAAGTAGCCCCATACTAAAATATACCTACTTTTTTTTTTTAAAATATCTTTGCCTACAATGTAAAGAATTTTCATTTGATGCAAAATCATAATGATTTAGGTTTGGCGGGTAAATGGTGATGAGTTGATCCTTGTTCCAGTCGAAGAGCAGACAAGGCTTTTCAGTGGGAATTGTTATATTGTTCAATATAAATATGCTGGCAATGAAAGGGAAGAAAATCTATTTTATGCATGGCTTGGTCATGGCAGTGTACAGGTATGCATGGCAGTGAAACCAAATTTCGAACACTGTGTTTGTACGTCTCAGTTACAAATACTTATGTAATGGATTAAATTCTAGGTAAACTACATGTTCACACCTGGTGCGCATGGTTTAACAAAGATGCTTTTATATGAGATATTGAACTTGGGTAGTCGGTTCATGTTTGTTTTCTTGAGAAAAAGCTCCGCTTGTTCTTTTCTCTCTTTTGATTTCAGCTTGCTATGAGTTTTAATAAAGTTGCTTTATTTACATTAAAATCCACTAAAAGCTCCAATGACCTGAAAACAAAAAGACAATATCATAATTGGATCAATCCGGCTTTGCATACAGATTAGTCAAAATTGTTATGGTTTCCTTTTTTTCTTTTTGAATGTTAATTTGATGTCTGAATCAAATTAAAAATGTAGATTGACTCATTAATAAATTTGCAAAATCATAACTTTCTCTTATTTGCTTATGATTTTTCATTGCTTATAGGAAGATAGAGTTGATGCCATTTCCCATATGAATACTATTGCAGACTCAACAAAGGGGGATCCAGTTTTGGTTAGTTCTACGTGCATCTTTTGGAAACTCTTGTACAATTATTACGTTAGTTATTGACTGTAAATTAGATATTTATGCACTAGCCATATTTTGTTCTAGAGTCTTGGCATATGATACCTTTCACGTAATATTATTTTGCAGCTGTCTTTATGTGATCAAAATGATGTACTAAGTTGAAATCCAAATAGTAAAACATTGAAAATGTCACCTTGGAGGTCTGCTCTAATATCCATATTAAAACCACATTCTGTTTTATCTGAACACAAGATAAACTTGTAGATTGTTTGCATGAGTTAGCCATCGTGTTTGATCAGGAGTAAAGAATCCCTCTTTGTTTAAGAATCAGGTATCTTTGAAATGACTGGCGCACCTTTGGTTCCATAATGTTATTGTCAAAAGTATGACTAGAGCAAAGTTCATGTCGACCCAAACTCAAAATATGGTGTCTAATTTCACTTTTTAGCTGCTTGCGATGCAGAATGATATCCTTTTGCATAATTTCTTAATTAAACTTCCTGTAAATTTAAATAATATCTGCTGTTTTTAATTTTTCTGTGAAAAGAACTTATTGTTGTGAAGATTTTTAGGCTTTTGAGAAGCTTCATGCACCCTCGTCCTTAGTTGTCTCAAATTTGTGAAAAAATTTTCACCATATACTGCCGGACCATTAACTTGCTGTTCCTGCATCACTAATATTTTCCTTTTGTTTTGTCTTGCATATTCTGGCTTCAGGCTCGAGTTATTCAGGACAAGGAGCCACTTCAACTTTTCTTGATTTTCCGGACACTAATTATTTTTAAGGTGTGTACCAACAACTGGACATGCTTTTGCTTCATTTTCGTTTTTTTTTTTTTTTTTTTTTTTTTTTTTTTCACCAATATACTGCCCGGACCATTAACTTGCTGTTCCCTGCATCACTAATTATTTTCCTTTTGTTTGTGTGTCTTGCATATTCTGGCCTCAGGTCTTCGACGTTCATTCATGAGATTCAAAGTGAGCCACTTCAACTTTTCTCTGAATTTTCAGGGACACTAATTCTATTTTTAATGGTGTCTAAGTGATACCAAAACAACTGGACATTGCTTGTTGCTTCATTTTTCTGGTTTTTTTTTTTTTTTTTTTTTTCATTTTTTGAAATTCCTAGACTCGGGGTAATTTATACTTCTCCTGATTAAGTTACGGCATTAGGTAATGTGTGGATTACTGTCGTCAAGTAGGTCTTTGTTTGCTCCGCTTTTCCCTGTAGGGGTTTTTTTTTTTTTTTTTTTTTTTTTTTTGAAATTCCTAGAGGTAATTATACTTCTCCTGTTAAGTTACGGATTGGTAATGTGTGGGATACTCTTTTGTTTTGCTGTTTCCTGTAGGGAGGTTTGAGTAGACGATATAAGAGTTTCATAACTGAAAATGATATAGTGGATGATACTTATGATGAAGGCAAGATTGCACTTTTCCGGGTTCAGGGGACAAGCCCAAATAGCATGCAAGCCATCCAAGTTGACCAAGTAAGTTTGAGGCTATAGTCTTGAGTCTAAACTGTAAAGTCCGCAGTCCTCAATCAAGAGCTCCTCCTTGTGAGTGAAGATATGGTCATTTATTGTTTTAATCTAAATAATTCATTCACTTGAATCTCTCTCTCTTCTCAAAAATGTTTTACCTTTTTAAGACATTCTCTGAATGATAATACTTTTGGTGATTGTAATTTGTGGAATTGCTATTGTCAAATGCCTACTCTCAGCTTTAGTTGTTTATATAGTGGTTCAAAACAAAAGCGTTCCAAAAAAATAGCTGTTTGATTAGATGTTAAATGTAAAATAATTTTAAAAAGTTCAATTAAAATAAAGTGAAAATGAATTTCGAATCTTTAGCACAATCCATATATTTATATTTGCGAAATAGATAAATAGATCAAAGTTTAATTGAATTGATGTTAAGTTATGAGATCAAAAGTTTCATGAAAGACTTTCTCAACCTCAAAATACTACTATTAATATAAGGTTATGAACAATATAATTAACAAAGGTAGGGTCAAAAGGCTAATATTATCTTAAAAGCTGTTGCGAAACAGGACTTTAAAACCAGTTGCCACATAGGGCCTTATTGTGAGGATGCCATCAATAAACAATAAATAAATTGATCCATATGGTGGATCCACAATGGACTAGGGGTTTCCTTGGTGTATATGTGATACTATTAATTTTTTCCTTTTTCTGCGAGTCTTTGATACCTGGTGACACAATTGACTATGAAGTGTGAGGTTTTGCATTGTGCTCTACATTTGATGGCTCTGATTTGATATGAAAAAGCTTTGAACTTGCGCATTTGAAAGTTTTATTGAGTTTAGTTGATTATTACGAATGAGATTTGGACTTTGAACTTTCAGGTATGGTGCATGTTGTTCTATGTGTGTTTTGCAATGAACCTGATATGTCCTTGTAACTTGGACATTGATCATGAGCTAAACCATGTGCAGGTTGCAAGCTCTCTGAACTCATCCTATTGTTACATCTTGCAAACTGGAACATCTACATTCACTTGGATTGGGAATTTGTCATCTAGCATCGACCATGATCTTCTTGATAGGATGCTGGAACTGATTAATGTATGTAAGCTTACTTCTGAACTTGGATACTACTATACTAGATTCTTATTCAACAAGATGGTATACAGTTGTTAGATAAAACAAACAGGAGATATGGAGGGGAGGTGGTGCAAGATTTTGAAAAGGATTTTAGATCGAAAAAATTTCAGTTCACTGCAAACGTTATTTCAGCATTTTGCAGTAGATTTATGGTTTTATTGTAAAATGTCCAATAATGAACGGCAAAAGTCTGGCATTTATTTGGAGCTCATAAAGTTTCATCTCTGGAGAAATGTTAATCTGGTTGTTGCTTCAAAAAAATTTCTGCGTTCAAATATTTGCAGTTTCCTTACTTTTTTTTTTTTGAAAAGGAAAGTTATGCAGTTGCCTTTTGGAGATGGAACAATTATTTGTATTTAATTATTTTATCTGCTTAACTGCTAGACCCTCCTTATACCTGTCACAACAAAAACAAGTTATTCTCTCTTGATGTTATTTACAGCCAACATGGCAACCTATATCAGTGCGAGAAGGGAGTGAACCTGATAATTTCTGGGAGGCACTTGGTGGAAAAACAGAGTATCCAAGGGAAAAGGAGCTAAAACAATATACAGATGATCCGCATTTATTTGCACTTATGTCTACTGATGGTAGGCGAAATAGCCTTTCTTTTAAATTTTATTCTCTCAAAAGATGAAGTGCTCTGCCTTGGTTATGAATTATCCCAGGTTTAAGTTGTCAAATAATATCTAATGGTGGATAGTGTCTCTCTTGCTACTTGGATTTTGTTTCAGCTGATTTCAAGGTATATACATATTTCTCCAGGCACGCTTGAATGCAAATAATAGTGGGTGCACCTTCATAGCATACATATAAGCTTTTTGGTGCATGATGGTTTTCAGTACCTAATTTGACAGCTGTAGCAGCAATCATTTTTTAGTAATTCAACACTATAATATTCTAAGATAAAGGACAGAAATTGTGTTGTAGAATATGTTTTTGCTATTACAGACAAGATGCCACCCTTATTGAAAGTTACTCTAATGTAGTGCATTTAGGAGATAGTCCTTTTTCCTACTCGAATGTGGTACATTTAGGAGATAGTTCTTGCTTCCTTTCCTTTCGTTTTCCCCTCAATGAGTTCTTTTTTTTTTTGTATGTAATATATTTTCAGGTGAAAGAGATACACAATTTTTCTCAGGATGATTTAACTACTGAAGATGTCTTAATACTCAACTGCCATGATGAAATCTATGTTTGGATTGGAATCTATTCAAATGTTAAATCAAAGCAAGAAGCCCTAACTATTGGCCAGGTGAATTATTTCTATAGCTCTTGAATACTTTTATTATAGATAAATCTTTTTTCTTTAAATGAACTATATATATATATATTGGTACTTCAAATGTATATAGTTCTATGGGATATAAACCTTTACAATTCATATTTAACTTGTCTAATGTCACAAGAGTAAGTTTAATGGTCTTAGAGTGTTATATGTGTGCCTATCTGGTCTTTAGGTTTTAGCATTTTGTTCTCCATACACGTGCTGATGTTTTGGCATCTAGTATAGGGATGCTCAATTGAAGACCTAGTTTCCTGTAGACCTTATGCTTTCAGTTTAAACTTCATTTACCTTTTCATCTTCCTAAAATTTCATTGGAACTGGCAGAAATTCCTTGAGACTGTCCATCTGGTTGAAGGATTATCGTTGGAGACTCCTATTTATGTTGTTACAGAAGGGCAGGAACCTTCATTTTTCACTCGTTTCTTTGAATGGGATTCTTCAAAGGCAAATGTATGTGGTAATCAATGAAATCTTTCGTCAGGTGATTCGGTATGTCATCAGTGAATGCTATATTTTAACTAGGTTGTGGGACCTTGTAGATGTATGGCAACTCATTTGAACGGAAGCTTGCCATTCTGAAAGGAAAGAAGCAAAATCTGGAAGTAAGTGATGCTAGTGACAGTTTCCCATTTTTACAATATATATCTTCTGCTTTATTCTGTATGCTTCCTTATTCAGCTATTTATATATTTTCTACATTTTGTGGTTGTGGGTCTGATACTCACAACATAACGCTGAAAACCATGGTACAAACATTGAAGTAGTTAAAGAATGAAATCGATCCAAAATTTTAAGTGTATCTAACTGGCATTGCCGTAGATTTGAGTGCAGCTTTGCTGTATCTAATTGGCATTGCTTTGCATAATTGATGACATGGCATTGATTTAGTGATTCTCTTGTTAGCCATATCTCTATATCCTATGGATAATTCCATTTATGTTATATGGCATGCTTTATAGCTTTTGGTTTTGGATTATTCTTGCCTCTATTATAGAATGCTGAGGTTTCTGTCCAAGTTTGTGCTCAGGCCTCTCACTGATACCCAAATATTTCAGCTTTGTTGGTTGTAATTTTTTTCTGGGCCAAAGACAATAATGTACAAACTGGATGATTTATTAGCTAGAGATGATAACGCATGCAGGGTTGACATGCTATTATGGAAGAAGATTAATATTTAAGGAATTAAACTTTTTTGATCCCCTTTTTTATTTGTTAAGCTTACAAATAAAAAATATTTGTTTCAATACATCAGGCTCTTGCACGTTATTCTCCTCGACTCCTTCCACTGTAATAAAAGATATGACTTATTCATGCTTCACTTAACATGTTGTGCAGGTTCCTGTAAGAAGCTCACGGAAAGCATCCTCTAGGGGGACTACTCCAGATGGTTTCAAAAGCAATTCTGTCAGCTCAAATGGGAGGGGAAACGGTTTGTCTACTTCATCCAGTGTTTCGGGCTCAGATTCTAAGTCTTCAAGCAACCACCTTTTTCCCAGCCCAACTCCAGTCACAAGGAAGCTCTTTCCAGAATCTCCTTCAAATGGTAGTGCTGGTAATGAAGAAAGACTTTACTTAGTTAACTAGTTTAAAATTATATAGGGTAAAATCTTATGAGGGACTATAATTGGGAAAAGAAAATTGGAGAACGGAGACTGTTTGTCCTATATTGTAGGGACCCTTGTTAGTAATTGAAGACTGGCCACTTTGAGGCTTACTTAACTAAATGGATTAAACCATTCAATTATTAGGGGGGAAAAAATCTAGCATTGATGACCTTGCAAGAGCATTCCATGGAATATGACTTGGTTTGTCCATTGCATGGTTTGTTTGGAGAGTCCCAAGTTTAAGCATGAGCCCTTGGAAAATAAGGTCCTGCTGGATGCTTTTCAAAATACAATGCAAAGTTAAATTAATCCAAACTCGTATTATGAAGTTTATGTCGGTGGAGCAAGAATTTAGAATTTGGGAGGGTCAAAATAAATTTTTCAAAATTTAAGGGAACCGAAATGAAAAATAAAATTTTTGTACTGAATTATAAAGTAAAATTAAAAAAAAATCTAGAGTTTTGGGGATGCCCGGGCTCCCCCCTGTCCCCCCCTCCCTCGGCCCTTGAATCTTTGATTATTGCAGGTTTGCCAGCAGCAGAAGCAAGCTCTCCCGGAAATGCAAACTTAGTGCAGGTTGGCGATAGCAGCAACAACGTAAACTCAGTAATATATCCGTACGAGCGATTGAAACTGAATTCTAGTGATCCTGTGACAGACATAGATGCGACCAAAAGAGAGGTAACCTTTTGCTTACGTATGAAGAAACAGGTTCCATTTAGTGCTGCCATGACATTCTTTTGCTATCTATATTAATTTTGTTTTTTAGGCTGAATCGATCAACTAATAAAAGTGTATGATTTCTTTTAGGCATACTTATGTGACGAAGAGTTTCAAGAGAAATTTGGAATGACAAGAAAGGCATTCTATGAGCTAGCGAAATGGCGACAAGACAAGCTGAAGATTTCTCTGCATCTGTTTTAAGAAAAACTTGAAATCAAAACTAGAAACATGACTCACGTCAAGTTTCAGTCGAGTATAGCGTTCACATGGTTTGGTGAGTTCATCCCTATTCTGTACAACACTATTCGCAACTTGCTAGGAAAATGTAGATTAGGTTGATCTTAAAACAAAAGGCTTTTTTTTTTTTTTTTTTTCTTTCCGAGGAGCGAAAACTAATATTTCCTTTAGCATTTACATATAGAATATTTCATGTAGAATAGTCAATGTTAACATTTGCTGCATGATATTGACTCTAGGAGTAGACTTCTCAGTTTTTGATTTAATGGTTTTGGATTGTAAGCAAATTTTAAGTTCTAGACTTGATATTAAAATTAAATGGGTTTGGAGACAAGTAAATATGAGCGCTTATTCTCTCATATGAGCATCCATTCATCACGCACTACTCTTTATTTGGGACAGTATTCCCGGTTGTATTGCTGAGCTTTGTAGCATGGTTTAACGAAGCTGGATGTTTTCCTTTCAAAAAAAAAAAAAGTGCCATTTGCTCCAAGATAATTTTTTTTTGAAATGTTTTGTTCGAAGATATTTGTCTACGAAGGATGGACATATACGGATACGCTGACTAAAAGTGTCTGGACTCGTAATCGAAGCCCGTTTGGTTTAATTTGGAGTGAAAAATTTCAAGCAACTCTATTAATACAGTAAATTCAATTTTTTATAATATGAGTTTTTATAGGTTCAAAATTGATTTTATTTGAATTTTTTTTTTTGAAAAGCCCTTTTGTTTGAAATCTTTTTTCAAATTAATATTTTAAAGAAAAAAATAGTATTATAATATTAAAATTTATTATTCATTGAATCATTTTTAGTCTGAAATAGTAATGTCAATTGTTAAAATTAACCTTAAAATTGAAGTCTCAGCTTCATAGGGTTAAGTTGAATAGAATACCTAATATTGGAAGTTTGGCTGGTTTATTGATTGGTTGATGGTGTTAATGTAGACCCAGCCAAGGAAATAAATTGTAGAATTCACACCCTATGAAGTCCTTTAATTTGGAGTTATGCTGACAATGACTTAATCAACTTTTTCTTTCTTTTTCTTTGTTTTCTTTTTTGTTCGATTGAACTATTGATTATCTCCTTTCGAGCTATAATATTTCTATTGCCATCTTGCAGGCCACAGTAATTCCATTTTCCCATTTCAGCTCACCAAATTTCTTTTCTAAAATCATAAAATAAAGAGACTTTTAAAATAAAAATAAGGTATGAAGTGGAGACTTTTAAAATAAAAATAAGGTATGAAGTGGACTTGTTCAGACCTGACTTATGTCTTTATTTATAAAATAAATTAATAAAAATAAAAATTTTTATCGAAATGAAAATATTTCGGACCATATAAAAAAAAAAAAAGGTTTGAAATTATTTTTTCAAATTTTCTTATTTTCACTGATTCATTGCGTAGTAAACAACTATAATCAAGTCTTCAACTGAAACTTGTATTACATATAACCGTTACTGGTAAAATCTCTTAAGAAAAGTCTACCGCTGAAATGTGAACCTAACTCCGTCACGTCACATTATATGAAATCCTAATAATTAATCTTAATTTAAAAGTAAAGCATAAAAATTTACGTATGGCATATGGTTTATACCATATATTATATACCATTTTCTTCTCCTTCCATATTAATTCTCGTCTGCCCCTCTCTCTCTTTTACCATACAAATAATTAAGTAAAGGAGTTTCCATTTCTAATCGCCGGAAAATGGATAGCCGGCGAATATCCCTCACCTTTATATTTTTTCTATACTTAGTAGTTTCTTCTCATTCACTGGACTTTGATAATTTGAGAAGAAGGCACAAAAGCAAAATCAAAGGACCGATCAAAACTCTAGTGATTTTAGTCATGGAGAATCGTTCCTTTGACCATATTCTTGGTTGGCTCAAGTCAACCCGACCCGATATCGATGGGCTAACCGGAACCGAATCCAACCGGATCATCGCCTCTGATCCAACTTCTGATGAAGTCTTCGTCTCCGATGATGCTGTTTTCGTTGACTGGGACCCAGGCCACTCTATCCAAGCCATTCGAGAACAGATATTCGGGTCGAATGATACCTCCGCTAACCCTGCTCCGATGAACGGGTTCGCACAGCAAGCGGAGAGCATGAGCGAGAATAAGTCGAGAATTGTCATGAGCGGTTTTAAACCCAGTCGGTTACCGGTTTATACTGCGTTAGCTAATGAATTCGCCGTTTTCGACCGGTGGTTCGCGTCGGTGCCGGCGTCAACCCAACCGAACCGGTTTTATGTCCATTCGGCGACTTCTCATGGAGCGTCAAGCAACGTACGCAAAGATCTTATCCATGGATTCCCTCAGAAAACAATCTTTGACTCCTTGGACGAAAATGGGCATACATTTGGGATTTATTACCAAAATATCCCTGCTACTCTTTTCTTCTCGTCTCTTAGAAAGTTGAAGCATGTAGTCAAATTTCACGACTACGCGTTGAAGTTCAAACGCCATGCTAGGTTAGGGAAGTTGCCGAACTATGTGGTGGTGGAGCAGCGGTACTTCGATGTCGAGCTTCTTCCGGCGAATGATGACCATCCGTCGCATGACGTGTCACTTGGACAGAAGTTCGTGAAGGAAGTGTATGAGACCTTAAGGGCAAGCCCCCAGTGGAAAGAAATGGCGCTTTTGATTACTTATGATGAGCATGGTGGGTTTTATGATCATGTGCCCACTCCTGTCACCGGCGTGCCGAATCCGGATGGGATCATCGGGCCTGAACCTTTTTTCTTTGCGTTTGACCGTTTGGGTGTCAGAGTTCCCACCATTTTGGTGTCACCCTGGATTGAAAAGGGCACTGGTAAGTTCTTACACTTTTGCTAACTTGGAGGTTTGTTCCGTGATTCTCTGTTTATGTAATATATTGTATTGCTTAAAAAAAACGTGTGGGTAAAAATGTTCAGTTCAAAGATGATTGATTAAGCATGTGACCTGCAATTATTTTTCCCTGATTGTAAAACGTGCGGATTGATTAATAACTTTGAACTTGAACTTGAAGATTCACCAGAAAATCTGTACTGTCATTAATTCTTATACAAGGAAAAAGGTATCTATTGGGCTGGATTTGGTAATGCAACTGTCTTGGTTGCTTTCTGGTTGACTTATCAGTCGATTAAATTTAATGATTCTAAATTTGAAAAGCAGTTAGTTATATTAATATTGAGATTGGGCTGTATCTAGATGTAAAAACAGTTAATTTCTCCCTCCCCTTTGAGTATCCAAACGTTAATTTTTTTCAGCTCTTCATTCTCTAATATTGGTAAAAATTGAAGACTTGAGAATCCAAGTCCTTGACCTTTATTAGGCCAACACCTTCTTTTTTTTTTTTTTTCTTATATTAATATTGAGATGGGCTGTATCTAGATGTAAAAAAAACAGTTAATTCTCCCTTCCCCCTTGAGTATTCCAACGTTAATTTTTTTCAAGTCTCCTTCATTCTCTAATATTGGTAAAAAATTGAAGACTGAAGATCCAAAGTTCCTTGACCTTTAATAGGCCAACACCTTTCTTTTTTTTTTTTTTTTCTGCTGTAATGTGCTTAACATGTGTACTATGTTGCAATAGTGCCATTGTTAAAGATGTAAATAGGTATTGATTTGGGACATTGATTGTTGGTTTTCATAATGTTTTTACGTAGTGTCACCTTGATTTGAAAGGCTCTTCTATTCGAGGTCGCGACCTTCTATTCATATTCTATAACGTATTATTGAGGTTTAGTTTTAGAGAAATTAGACATAAATTAATTCAGTTGGCAGACCCTGTATTCCTCATTAATTCCTCTATCTCAATCATTCATTGGCCAATGGATCATCTATGATGTTTTGTCAAGTGAATGCCGTGAGGCTGTTGCCATCACCCACATCACAAATTCGAGCATTCTTTCTATCCCTGCAACTGGAAAGAAGCTTTCAAACCTAAAGTCCCAAAACTTGCCGAACAAAGGAGAAGATGCATGGCGCGTGTACTTTTGAGGATTACTTTACCTTCGTGGACACGCCCACGTGATGATTGTCCAGGGTTTTTGTATCAATTATTTTGGATCAAAGAATGGAAGTTTTATTGTTGTTTATCTTTTTTTAATCTACTTCATTTTTGGAACGCCTAGAAATGTATCTGCTCTGTGTGTAGATCAAAACTGTGAAAGTTCTTTACCTCCTTTGCATCTACATGTCGAATTTACTATAAGATTAAATCTTTTGATGGGGAGTGTTAAAAATTATATGTTGAATGAGTGCGATTGATATTAATTCGATTAATGCAGGTAATATGCAATGTTGATAGGACGGTTAAAAAAAATGACTTCCAATTTAGGAAAACAAGGGTCTCTATTGTTTCTGCATATGAATTACAAAAAAAGTTAAGGTTCCTCTCTTTTTTCTGTTTGAGGGGCAATAGGGAAAAACAGAAACTATTTTTTTCCTTTCTTCTCTGTTTTTTTCACTGTTTTCCTACCTCCTCCTTTCTTTTTATTTTTTTTTTTTTTTTATTTTTTTTTTTTTGTTTTTTTT